GCCACACAAGGCCCAGTGGGGCCGCAAGAGAAGTTGCTGGCCGCGCCTCACTTTGTCGTGAACGGAGATGGCAGGCCACCTTGGCAGTGGCTTAGGTGACTTGTTCAGGGACGGAAAGAAGCGCATGGACGTTCCTGTTTGCATGCACACCGTGGTTGCCTGCCAGGTGCAAGGTCACCGTTTTGTCTTATCAAAGACAAGTTCAAAGGAAACTTGCAGCAGCAGACCGAGACACTAACATGGGCACCAAACTGCGCCCTCCGCTTTGGACTTCCATCAGGGACTTCCCATGTACGCCACTGCCTTAGTGTGTGAAGCTCGCTGACCGTCAGCACCACATGACAGCTCCAAATCTGCCCAACAGTGTGCGGTGGATTGGAGCGGTCGTGGCACGTGCACCCACAACTGCTGGGGAACGCGAGGGGCCTGCGTCGCACCTTCGTCAGGTCTGTGTTTCACATTCACGTCAAAACCTGACTGTAGTTGTGCAAACGCCCATATTTGGCAGAATCGTTCGGGTGCCCGTGTTCAACACGAACTTCGTGTTGGCTGCGCAATGCCTGGCGCGCTTTCCCTCCAATGATGACCTGTCGCACCCACTGCAACGTCAATATAGGCCGATTGAACACTCATGCTTGGTCTTTGCGGCGTAAACACTGAGTGCTATGCGTGTTTGCGCACAAAAATAGCATTTACGTTTAACATGTAAATAGGCGTAGAAATACGTAACTTTTGACCCAGTGTACATAAAGGCAGTACACGTGGACTCAGGAAATCCCGGGAGCGGCAGCTAGACACACTAGAGTGGATATAAAATGAACTTTTGTTTGAACACACATGGTCAAGGCGTATGTCTTTGCCATTGCCAACAGCGAGGTGGAGCTGTGTTCCGGGTGCTCGAGCAGGCAGAGGACTGATCATTGTTTACAACTTGGCCATGTGACCTGGATATCCCGAAGGGCCTTAGAAATACACAAGTACAGCCATAAAATATACCCTTTGCAGATTTACATTTTCACGTGTAAAATCGTAAATGCGTAAATGCAAACACGAACATAAAGATCAAGCATGTGGACATTGTTCCAGAAACATTGTTGTGGGACTTACAGCTCTATAGTGCTCACTGTGCTGCACCACGTTTTTAGAAAGGGCTTCGGTTCCATTTCAACACGGGTCAGTTTTCCAGTACACGATTTGTTCCCATTTTAACAAATATTGAGCAGATTTGGTAACTGCGCGAAATTGGGAGCTTTTGCCAATGATTGGGTTCCACAGCGGCGCCTCGCCCTCGGCAAGGGCAAAGACGCGCTGCGTGCATCAGGCCTATATAAGGCTCGTCATTTGCATTTCTGGCCAACTTGTTGGTGATTGGGCGAACGCGCGCATTCGGGCAGCACCCTTCGCATGCTCTTAGAGAATAGCTGTTGGATAGGAAGCGCACTGTTCGAGTTCCCACAAAGTGACCAACATTTGGTGGCCACATTTGTGCTTTGGTCACCGAATGAGGGCGCTGGCCATTTGGCCCAAGGCGGCATGGAATGGGGCCTGTGATGGCGTCATCTCCAGTGCATTACTAAGGATGGCGCTCAGGGCCATCACGGCCGTCGCCTGCACCTGGGAGGCTGATGCAGTGGCCGTTTTTAGGCATCATGTGAGGCTGGCATTAATTCAATATTGTCGTGGGATTTGATGGGTTCATGGCACGGAGGAAGCAAGCGAACCGCGGGGTGCAACATGATGAAGCACAGGGAGTAGCGCAGTGAAGCACTCGGTGCAGAGTGATGTGCCGCGGGGCGCTGGGCGATGCGCTGCAGGGCTCGAAGTGATGGGTCGCAGGTTGCAATGCGTAGTGGCGCGGGGTGAGTAGAGGTGGCCACCCGGATCCGTTAATAGCGGACAGAGGTTAATTTCCGTTAATTTTCCGTTAATTAACGGAAAATAACGAAAAAAGACAAAAATTAACCAAAAATTAACGGATTTTTGGATTTTTTGGGGATTTTTGGGTTTTATTCATACTTACAGTTTATGGAATTCGCTATTAGAAAGTATGTTTGTATTTTATTTCAACCTATGCATACTAGATTTTCAACTAGCCGCAGTTGTTGTGATTTTTTGGGTTTTTTTCGATTTTTTGGATTTTTTTCATTTTTCTGAATTTTTCTCCCTTTTTCTTTTATGAAATTTAACGGACAGCTGATAAAAATTAACGAACCAGATTTAACGGACCGGATGGCACCTTTGAATGGCCACCTCTATTGTGGTGGAGGGACAAAGCGCCATGGCCGAGGTAGCCAACCATAGCCACTAACAACCCTGTATGCTACCAAAAGCAATTATTTTAAACTATGGCACTCTTTCAGTGCCGTACTAAAGTACACAAATTGAGCAAAACAAACCAACTCCTTCTCTAGAAGCTGTTAGGAGGTGCATAAACCCTTTTTCCAGAGATTAAGGCTGCACACCATTGTTAATTCAAATGTTATACATGCTTTTGCAATATGCTCTGGTCCAAACCAACCCAAAACCAGCTCAGCAAAATCAGTTTGTTCTTCATATACAACTTCTGCAGGTATTCGTAGCATGACAACTCATTTCTTAGGAGCCCATAACCAACGTGATGCAAACAACAAGAATTCTGCCCAATTTAAAGGACACCGCCACTTTTCAGTAGCAAGCAACACACAACCACTTTGTCAGCTGCAAACACAACATGTGTCAGGCCATAGACACCAAAAGGATGCACGAGCTGGAAAAAGTCATCAGCTCAGTGCCATGCCGGGGAAAGAGACATCCCGGCATGTCCCTTCAGGCTCATGCCTGTAAAGTGAGTGAGGAGGAGCACAACCCCATAGTCAATTGATTGAGTGACTTCTCAGCTGGAAAGAGACATCAGCCAATGGATCAATTTTCCATGCAGTTAAAGAAACAAAACGTCCCCAAGTGCCCAGAAGGGAAGTAGTACTCTTCACGATGGGACGAAATCCTTGTTCAGGACTACTTACAGCAACATTGTAGCTCCCCGACCACATCCTTTTTCAGGATGCTCCACAGCAATACCTTAGTTGTAAAGGATAATATTTCTCATGCGTAACCGGAATATGGGGTAATCCACACTAGAAAGTAACATCAGGTGCGGGCTCACGTTTCCGGTTTGCATTTTTTTGGGTGCCTCAGTAGGCCCCAACCCTTTCAGCCAGAAATGACTAGCTTTCAAGGTTGTAACGAACCCAGTATGAGGGCAACACCCTTGATCAGGATATTTAGCTTTACTAGAGTCAGAGAGCCATGGTCAATTCTGGATCCATTGATCTTCACCGCGTTATTTTTGAATCCATAGCCGGGTGGCCTCAGTGAACACACCCAGTTTGGTTGATAACTTTGACTTTCAGGGATATGCTCAGTCGTCACAAAGCTCCCATGAAGTACCGATTCCTCCGTTTCTAGAACCAAACCCGAATCCTGATGGAGGAAACGAATCTCTATGCGCTTGCTACTTAGTAAAATTGCAACACTTCTTTTTCTTTTCTTTATACCATTTTTTCTTCCTATAATTGGTGGTTGTTTACTCAGGCCATCCCACATAGTCAGAACGCGTGTCAGACATGAGTTCCTCGCCAGCTGAATTGTAAGAGATCCACCCAGTGAAACGGTGGTCATTATGCAGCGTCACGAACAGTAGGAAGTTGGATGTCAAATTATATGCCGATGAAGTGCTGATATCGCTGAGCAGTGTCCACAGGCCTGTGAATGCCAACTGTACACTTTGGCAAGTGGCTGGCGGTGCCCTACTGACTTTGATCTGTGTGAATCTGTTCACCTATGGCATAATCTTGACAGCGAGATCTGGAAGGTTTATTCAAGTGTAGATTGATTTGGTGTGCCTTGTGTTCATTAATGTGCGGAGAGTCACTGCCGTTGGCCGATTTGGCTCGAGAGATCGCCAGGGTAAAAGGCTAATTAAGTTTCCTTTGGAATCCTGAGCGTGTAAGGCACGGTCAGACAAGGCAGGAGAGTCTGTCACGTCACAGCCTGTGCCAGATGTGGTTGCTGGCCCAGTCGGTAGTCCCCATCATTTCCAGTGGACTTGTGCTTTTGTAGCTGGATTGGTAGTAGGTTGTTGTGTACCGTTAGGTTGCCTCTGTCTGGGGATTTGTGTCGGACACATCCTTGAATTCGCTCACATGTGACCGTGACTCACCAGCCATATTTGGCAGTCAACAGGTAATGGCCATCGAACACCGTACTCTGATGCAGGGCCTCGGCACTCGTTAAATTTCAGGTGCCCACTGGGCCTTGCGTGCACTTTGACACCTTTACAACATTCAACATTCAGACGCATGCGTCAAAGTTCTGTGAAATGCTGTGCACTGCCCCGTGCGCCCTAACTACTTGAAGGGTATTCGAATCGACTGCTGTTGGATGGATCCATGGATCCAGAAATCGCAAGGAAACGCCAAACCTAAGATACTGCGCACCAGTGGCACATCCAAATCCGCGCACCAGTCTCCTGTCTGAGTCCGCTTAAGATCCTCAGGAAGAGGACCAATCCGCACTACCAACTGTGAATCACTACCAAGGAGCGCAACTTGCCACTCCGTCCAGCGCACTGCTCAACTGCAAACCGTGATTCCTGCTGTCCAGCCACCAGCAACAATATTGATCACGTTGGATACTCGTCGCGCACTTTGGCTGCGAAATTTGCATCCTGTAGTTAACTACGGTAGTAACTTGCAACGAGCCTGGCATATCATTCCTGAATCGTGACACAACGACTGCAAAACGAAAATTCCCCTCCTCTTGATCGGATCCGTACATAATCATCAGGACCAGAATGGAGTAGACCCGGAGGCCAAAAGAGTTTCCTTGCTATTGGAAAGGCTATCCACTGTTCGAGCTTATTTGTATTCCAAAATCTTCCCTCACAGCTCCTCAGCAACTGCAACTCAACTCGGCTGTGAGCCAAGGTCATCCACGGACATGTGGTCGACACGTGCCTCATATCAACCGCAGCGGACGAACAAAACTCTGCAAGATCCAAGTTCAAAATGGTTCAGTCCTGTCTGATGTATTCTCTCTACATGAGTGTACATTTCGATGCACCGGTCTCCCGACCGCTTCAGCAGATATCGTGTCAGCCAGAATGTAGGAATGCAAAGCGCGCATCCCAAATTCCTCACATCTCAGCAGCGCCATACATGGATGGCTTCAAGCAATGCGCGATAGCACAAGCATCGTACTCCTTTAAGAGGCTGCCGTACGTGGCACAGGCAAGCTCCTGCGTGTGGTCATGCATGCACAAACACACATGTGTAGCAACATATCATGACTGTGTTTGCGTCGGTGATGGTGCTGACATGACAACACTATCACACTTGCGCCCTTGCTGCCAACGGATGCCGGCGGTGTTTGTCGTCAGCAATGCAACCTGTCCAGAAAACGCACTCACCGTACGACCGATGTTCCTCCACTCCTCAATGACGTCGTCTTCGTCACATGCAGGCATTCTCTATCGTCAGATAATTCAAATTCTTCGCTCGTGTTTCCAGCGAGTGGCTCGCCCCATTCAGACCTGCAAACTTGACAGTCGGGGTCAGCTTGCGCCCACATCCCATACAAGGTGACGTCATCCCTTCAGGTTACGACATGATGACTCGATTACTTGACTTGTCCATACTCACCCTATAATGGATACACTGCAAGATGTTTTTGTTGAAATTCATCAGCCAAGTCAACAACTGTAAATGAACTGACTACACAGCACTAAATTAGCACTTTGCGCCGACAAGGTTGCATGGCACACGTGGTGTACAATGTTTCTCGGCAATGTGGATATGACAGCAGTGGCAAAGAGTGAATGGCAGGACAATTATCTAAAGCACAAAACGGTGGAACCGTGGCAAAACTTCACATTTAACTAAGCACCAGATTTTGATGAGAATTATGTCGTTCAATCCGACATGCAAGCGTGGTATCCTGTGCAAGGTATATCTGTCTGGTATTCCGTGCATCGGAAACGCATTCACGGCAAAGACAACCCAGATGATGGTATGAATAACTGTGTTCATCCGCTGTACTGACCTACAATGCAGTCTTTTCGCCAAGGCGAATGAAGCCATGCATCACATGCGCCACAAGGCGTGCTGCCCTTGTCTTTCAATAGAAAGTTGTCTCTGTTCGGACTGCGCTGAGTGGTACAACGGTACAGAGGTGGTACAGAGGGCTTCCCTGCGCCTGCCATCACCTTCCCGATACCCCAAGGATCATCTTGGACCACAGTGCGTCCTGGTCTTACTCATTTGCCCTACAGGCAGCCGAATGGAGACGACGGGGCACTGAATGTGATGGTACCAGAAGAATGAAATTGTGCACGACCATTCTCTTAACACCACCATTTCAGTGGCTTGGATAGCGGACAAGAAGCCACGAGCGCCCGCTGCTCTCAATGAATTATTAAGATAGAACAGGGACGCCCAACTCACCTCAACATGAAACCCTTGGAAGTCCTCTCCACCCATCCAATTGCGCCCCCCCTCCTTGCGTCTTTTCGTTTTGTTGCGATTTTTTCTCCACTCCACGGCCTTGCGTCGCGGAGCTCTACCCAGTTGAACAGCTTTGCCGTCACGTGGATTTTGTCTCTCGCTACATGGAGCTGGATTAAGGAAACATGAATCTATCAAGTTCTTGTTGTAGGCTGGTATTGTAGATGCCAGGTGGTGGTATCTTTGCATTCCATGTGTGTGACCTTCAGTTAGAGAGCTTTTTACAGCGAGGAAAATGGCGGCAGCCACAGCCAACATTCCGTGATGTGGATACATCCATCATGTACAGATATCACCCGTTGCTCCGTAACACGACGCATTAAAGTATATATCACGAGTAAAAATGCACATTTGAAACAGCCTCCGTGCATATCCAGGCACTTGCGAATAGCGCAAGCCCTCCTTTACTGTTGGTGACATTCTTCAGCTGCATATTCCGTCATGTTGAAACTAATGATTCTGAATTCTTGCAAGCTCCATTGCAAGGACGGTCGAATGTCTTTCCAAACCATCATCACGTTAAGAAAGCGTCTCACCTCGATGTGCCTCGAGTTATCCAAGGCCTTGCTGAATGCCCAGCCCAATTTCATAAGTGCCACCAGGGATGAGTAATCATCGCTCCTTGAACGGTCCATCTCCCAGCATCCCGTGTAGCCACAAAGCCTCGCAAATGCCTCAGCTGGCAGCTGGCCTTGAGGCGTGGTGATCACATTCTTTGGGGAGCCGAGTCGTCCAGAGCCACCTCGGGACAATTTTCTCACAACCTCATGAACCCTTTCTCTGAAGCCCGTGGGGGCATGAGTCGAGGCAATGGGGCTCAGCGCAGATATTGTTCGCACGTGGCCGCCTCCAGACAGGCATCCCTCTGAACAAGCAACACGACTTGGTGTAACCACTGAAACAGTTCCCGACAGCTGTGAACAGTTTTGTTGTCAAACAGTTTTGACAACAGTAGATTTAAATTAGAGTCTGGCAAATCAAAGCCAATCAACAGCTCCCTTCAACAACGTATCCAGTCCCCTGCCCCAAAACAGAGTTGTGACAATCCGCGTTGTCCCCAGCACAGCGCCATTGATCTTGGGTTTTGTCTACAACACAAAACCCGCCACATTTTTGAGTGTGCGCCGTGACTGAGTATCCATACCTTCTTGCATCTCCCGAAAAGCCTCCCTGAGGTCTGTGAGGTCTGTCGCACTGTAGTACACAGTGAGCCCCTCCTCGCCCTCCCGGCCAGGAGAATCTCTATGGAGTGGCGCAGAGAATTTCCTTGAGGGCTTCCGAACCTCCGGGCGCCCCTTGCTCGAACACGGCTTCACTCGGGGCTTGCAACAGCACCATCCAAGGCGGCCCCTGCGATCCCCAGCCGCCCCTTCCGCCGTCCCATGCGCCTGCCCCTCCCTCCCATCCTTTTTCGGTCTGTTTCCCCTGCCGGACTTCTTTCGCTTCTTTGACCGCCCTGGGGTGCGTTCCCTCGCCTCAGTTTTCAGCCTGTTCAAAGCCAGCGGCGGCACGGGCGCGTCCACGCCGTCATCCCGGCAATCGGCCTTCTGTTCTCGGCGCCCTCTCACCGCCGGATCCATCCCCCCTGCCGCACCCCGCCCGCAGCACGGCTCCGACAGCGGTCACTGGTGGCCACTGCTCTCTGCCTTTTCCTGTCGATCCAGAGCTTGGCGCTCTCAGCAACACCCAGCACCCGCACGGGCGACCCCAAGTCTCCAAACTTCCCCCCTACGCCGAGCGCGCCATGGCCGCGCGGGCGATTGCGGCCTGTGACAAGGCGCGAACGGCGCACATGAAATCGCCAGCCCCGATTTCCATCCCCATGCATGCGGGTGCCATTCGAATGGCGTTGGCCCGCCAGACGGATTTCGTGGCAGGTCGAGAGCGCGGCGTGTCGGCCTGGGCAGGCGCGCCTTCAAATGCTCGCCTGAAGAAAGAAGTCTGCCGCTACGAGGGAGCCGCCCTCGCAAGCCTCTGCCCCGCCGCCTCTGCGGCGACCAGAAGCGCAGGCGAGTGAAGCACGCGTGCGGCACTTGGCGGTTGGTCCGGCGACAGGGCTCGCGGGCCCCCGGTTCAAGTTGGGCGCGCGTCAGGCGGTCCTCGGGAAGCCGTGGCCACTGGTGCGCCCGCTGGCAGCCAGCATGGTCGTTGCGTGAGACGGTATGTAGCATGGCCACAGGCGGCCTCGATGCCTCGTCCTATCCATGCTGGATTAGAGCTACGCCTGTCATGCGGGTCAATCCTCGATCCTCAAGCATCGCCACAGGCGTGCCTGTCCCTCATGGTTAGGACCTGCTCGAGTCCAGGCATATTGCCCAGCGTTTAGGCGGGTCACTCGTGCATGTCGGTGCTCGACTGGCATCTAGGCACACCGTCGATGGCAATCCCGAGCAGATTTCGACGATCAACACCGATGGAGACTACAATGAAGGCCAGAATCTGTGAAATTATATGCATCCAAGTCGGCGGCCACAGAGTAACAGCTCAAAGGAGCGGCAATGCACACCAAGGAAGAGCATCAACAGCCTCGGCTGAAGTCTGTCGCGCCAGTTCATTACTTCAAACGAGGGTCACTACGTTTTACGCTTCTGGGTGTTTGTGGGAACGTGCATTGGTGGAGTAGTACCTCGCATCCTTCATTACAATAGCATGAGGCAATCTTAACTGCACGATCAGCCTGAGACCGCACGTGGTGTGCACATCTCCTTTCTTTTGCCTGGCCTGCACTGCATTGCGCTCGAACGCGAACCCAACTGCTTCAATCTTCAAAAACGCGCTACAGACCCACGAATGGCCCACAGCTTCCGACTGTGATGGTGTACTTAGACCAACATTGCCTTCCTGATGAAGTGGGCTATTGAAACCCAAATCGTGCCGATGTTGAGATTCGCTGTGAACAGCTGCCCAGAGTTGGTGCGCCGAGTACGATCTACTTCAGTCAACTGGATATCCCACAGTGCGGCAGTGAACGCTTTCGCACACAGGAGGGTGGGCAATTACTGGACGAAGTGTTGATGTGACAATAACAGTACGATGCGGGAAAGAAATTGCCGTCGATGGGCACCCCTTCAAAACAATCAAAACGGCTTGAGATTCTGCTTCCTAGGATACGATAGTGTACAGGTCTCCAAATGTGCACACGAAATGCTCATAAACCAGGAACATCGCTGTCGTAGTGTAAGTTCCTGAAGAATGGTCAACTCTCTTCGCAACAAACGAGGTGCAAGATCCCACACTCCCGCAAAAGACGAGCGCGGAGCACAGCGTTTGACAATAAGGACACTTGGGGCATCGCTACATGACGACTCGTTTGCGTTCGCAATAAAGAAGGGTATTTGCAGTCACAACATTGCAAACAAAACTGATGCCGGGCCGATGTCGTCCCCACATTTGATGCAAAAGCGCATTTGTCAGGATCAGTGTAGTGCCGACAACGCTGCTGTGCGGCACGACTGTGCAACATTACCTGAGCCCATCATGGCACCGACATGGCCATTGACATGGCCAATGACGCTCTGAGGGGTTGCCTTTGGCGTCATAGAAAGCATTGGGCAGTAATCCATGCTGGTATGAGTCACGAGTGGAGTCCATTACATGCTTCCCTAAAGCAACACTTCAGTGCTGTGTCCCTTCAAAGAATAGTCCCCCTCAAAAAGGCTGCAAAACGTCAGCTTCTCAACTTTCAACAACAATACATGGCTGACACTGAATTATACTATGAAAGCGATATGGACTAATCTAAGGTATTGTGCTCTGACTTTTGTGTTGATATGGACAAACACAGCAAAAGGATTGGCACAAAACTGCTCACCTCCCAAAAACAAGCCCAGAAAGGTAACAAACTTGAACCAGAACCAGATCTGGCGTCGTCACTTGTCCCCAATTATGTTAGAAATCTCCTGATTGATCTTTTGCAAGCCCTGAAGGCGCATGGAAATTGAAGTGACGTGTGCATGTTCCCGCTCAACCTGTCCCACAACACTCCTTGCCACCTCGTGCACCCTCTCGTTGTCCTGGTCGAGCTGTGTCATCCTTGCTGCCAGATTCTGCAGATCTGTGCCCATTTTGATGGCCTTCGAGGCTTGCTGCTTTGCTTGGTGGCATTCACGAGCAGCCGAGGCTAACTTGCACTGCAGCTTTTTGATCGTGGCATGGGTAGCAGCTGTGTGTGCAGCAACACCAGCTGCAGCAATAAGCAAAAGGAGCGTGCCACCAGATAGTGCAAACACAGTTGGCCCACTTTCATTGTCTGTCATGTGAGCTGCCTTTCCCTGCAAACACACAATGCTCATTAACAATACCAACTCGCTCACCAGTATTCAGTGATGCTGTGTCGGTCCCAGCACTCAGGTTCACGACCAAGAATACAACCAATTTGGCGACATGGCGTGTGCACAGCTGGGTTCCTTGTGCTGAGGTGGCATTCCTCAAGCACTGCACGCAGCAATGCAACGATGCAAGTTGCACTTTCACTGATTAATTCAACAAGTGGAACACAATTTGGGAGGCTATGTCCAGCCCTTTGCTTTTGTCATCCTTGTAGGACCCCAGTGATCCAGAAATGGAAAGGAGGCGATGATGGCAGTTACATTCAACCACAGCATTCCTCCCGCACGCAATTCTCAGTAGTGGCCATCAAAACGGCACGACAAAACAACAGCAGTGTATCCAGCAGCAACGACTTCATGCCCAGACAATTGTGTGGGATTGGACGTGCATCTGATACACAGTAATGTAACTCGCCTGGTGGACTTGGTGGCCAGGTCGTCCAGAGCAGAAGGTGGAATCTGTTGCCAGCTCCATGGATTTGGTCTGTACAGCCAACAGCTGCAAAGCAGACAGGGTAAATCAGCCCACAGAACACTCACAGGAAGCCAAAGTCCAATTCCATTGATAAAATGCTTGTTACAGCATGAGAAGCTAAGGGGTGTGGGACAAACACTGTAAGCCGATGCTTCCTTAACGCAATTCTGCAGATGAGATCACAAGTCTGCAGCCTGCAAGCTGTGGCAGACAGCAAGCTGTGGCAGACAGCAAGCTGTGCCAATACACAATATTTGACTTCTGCACCTGTGCTTCGATCATCTCCCTACCTCTGAATTCAGTGCAGACACAGCTCTTTCCAAGGTTGCCTTCTCCTGGTTTAGTCTGTGTGCACGGTCCTCCAATTCTATAACACGGCCCTCCAGAGCAACCACCCTTGACTCATTCTGCAGGATGGGGCACAATTCTGCAAGCTCCCTTGCTGCCTTGAGCTCCTCCTGGACTCCATGGAGTTTGATGCTCAGGCCCATGGACGATATAGCAGCAACCAAGAAGAGTGTGGTGGTCACCAAGGCACCCCACCATGCCAGTCTGCCCTTCTCCTCCCTCTGTTCTAGCCATCTGTCATATTCCCTTGCACCAGTCCAACTACAAAGACTAGAATCAGAATGTGCAATACCTTTACGCATCTAGCACCTCCACGATTCAGCAAATTTATGTCAATATTCGCAGGGTTTTGTTCCCTATCATTATGTTGAACCAGTGTCACCAAATCTTTCCGTTCCACATCGCCCCTGGACGGGCCTCAGGAGAAGAAACACATGCTGGGTCACCCTGGCGTAGGCCAAGCTTCTGCACAGTAAGGCCCTGCTTTGACGTGTTGTAGCTGTATCTCTGCATTTCCAGGACTGTTGGCACAGCTGCAAGGTCACGCACCCCCTGCATTCACGGTTTCATGGTGGGCTGACAGCATGGGGTTGTGCAGGCCGCATCTGTGGCACTCAAATCATGTCTATGCGGAAACATATTTGCAGGGCATTCCCAGTTCCAACGCCTTTCTGACCAGGCCACCACATATCTCTGCACTGTATTGTACATGCATGGCCTGTATGGGATGCTGGCGCCGACCCTCAGACTGGTTAGGTACTGTCAACACTTGCTTCAGAATCTTGGATTTATGTGTTGCTCCAAAGTTTTCTCAGTTGCCTGTGTCTCTCACAAAGGGCATGGTTGTGCTGCTGGCGCCACAAAAGAGGTCCAGCGTTGTGCCATTCACGAAAATACTCATGTCAATGACAGTACCCACACAGATGCACAACTGCAATGCCTACACAGAACAATGTACTGATATGTGAACATATCGGTGATTGTGCATCGTGCTGTGACGGCAGTAATTCTTGGTCTGGTCCCATTGAACGATATGCAGAAGTCAATCACTGCATGACTTTGCGATGCTTGTGTCAAAATCAACAGCTCGAAAATTGCCAAAGACCCGTTACCGATTTATTTACTCCACATATCTGTGACATACTCAAAACATGACGTCCTGTTTCTGGACTAAATAAGCACTTGCAAACTCCAAACGCTGCACTGACATAAAGGCCATCAGAGCACTGCAAAGTGCCCCGGCTTTCAAGTTGTTGCAGGCACAAAACAGAGCAAAACAAAAAGAAACTGTTGTCAAACGAAGGAGTTTCTACAACCAAAAGCACTGTTCCACCTGTTGTTATCCACTTTTGTTGGCCAAAAAAGAGGATCTTCATGCAGCCTGTTGGGCGTTCGGATGGCCATCGAAGCTCCCTGCCGAAACTGAGGGGAATGCGAACGTGCCATGCCGGAAACCAACTCCCTTCCAGAAGGTCAAGCTTTATCAAGAAATGGCCTGAGTCAACAAGAACACCTCCATGAATGGAACCTTATCAAATAGCTGTTCTTTTTGGCACCCTGCCTAGCTGATCTCTGCTAAACACAGAGCTTGCACTGCGCAGATACCTCAAGATGCCCAATTGGTGAATCCGACAGCACAGTAAACAACGTCCACCTCACACCCCTCCAATGCTGTTGGCATGCAAGTTTACTAGACCTGACGTAGGCCTGGGCAATTTATCCTTCCCGCACACCCACAACAACATACCACCGCTCGTCTCGCTACCATGCCAGGCCCAGAATATCCCAAGCGACAGTAGTCAGTGGCAAAGCGCGTTACTCTTCGCCCGACATTCCTGATCGCAAGCGGAAACCCTAACGGGCCCAGCACCTATGCCACCCACGCATGCCGAACAAGCAAATACTGCCCCAGCTGTCACCAAGCCAGGCATAGAGCAACATGGCTCGTGCATTCGCCAACATGCCATTCGCCAACCGGCCACGCGCATATTCCACTAGAACAAGGGCCTGGGACCACAACACCCCGTCGCCACATTACCCCCCGGCCCCGTCTTAAGGCCTGGCATCGCCATCACTCGCCCTTCCCTGCGATTTGGTTGATGCACCACACCGATGGGAAAAATGCCAGATTGTTGCTCTCTGTCCGCGTCCGAGCCACAACAGCAAGTCCTTTGCCAACCCAGCCCGGGCCCAGCCTACGCCGTTGCGCTCTAGGTCGATCGGCAGCGCCGCAATGCTCAACTGCCAGCTGAGCGATAGGCAACAGCACTTGTGCCATAGGCACGGACGCCCCTGATCCGAACACGACGCGAAACCTGGACGGCGACAGTCGACGGCCACTGGCCGAAACCCTAACACGAGACAGGCGGGATCACTCGAAATTTAAAACGTGGCCTTCTCCCGGGCCTTTCTTCAAGCTTACCTCAACCCCGCATATCAGGAGGCGCCTCAGCGCTTTCCGGCGCGTATTTCAGGAGCGCCCGTTTGCCTTGGCTCGATCGACCGCTCGGAATGGAAATTTCTCAGGCCTGCGTGCTGTGGCAGCGCAGCGACTCTCTCACTGGGATTAGCACCCAAACACGCCGCCAGCGGCGCAGAGAGGCGCTTCTCGATCAAACCGGCGGGCTCCCAAGGACGTCTGGCGCTGTGGTGCCCGTGGCACGGCGTGGGCCCGCTCGTGGCAGGGGAGTTCGCAAGGTATCGCCAGCGGCATGGACAGGTATACGGGTTGGCACTACAGGAAAACCAGAGTACTGCCACAACAGTTTGGCGCCAAAAGCACTCAATCTTCAGCCAAAAACGGCGGGGTCCCTGCTGCCAACTGCGGCTCTGAGCCTCCTGCACACCGCAGAAAAGGCGTCGGATGAACTCGATTCCGGCCCCGCGATGCCGGAGCTCCGGGGCGGCTTTGCCAGCCAAAGCCGCCCCGGATCATCGGTCCTGACATCGCGAGGGAATCGTGTATCTAGGCTTTTTGCCCACTGAGACGGGCGAGGTAATTTGCCACCGAGTTGGGATTGTTTGGAGTCTCAACAGGCGTGTCAAGCCCGTCACAGACCACCCGCAAGCAACACACTAGGAAGCAAACATTCACAAGTCCAGCCGTTCAAACAGAAAGATTTGAGCTCATAGATCAGCACACCACGCCCATGGGATTAAGGGACAAGGAAATTGAAGCACTTTGCGTGTACTGGTGAGCCCTATTTTCACATGAAGGGAACCAACATTCATAGCCATTTGATAGTACCATAGATAACCTACAGTGGCAATGCACACCAGCTCAAACAATGGGTATGTGGACTCAGACTTCCGCTTTAATCTAATAGAGTTGGACGATGTGATTGTCAAGTGTACACTTAATTGTTAAGTGTACACACGTGATGTCACAATTAAGGTACATTGCCCAGGGTAGTGCAAACACATCTCCAACTACACCAACCTATACATTGGTAGCATAGGGTGCATGGTTGGGTAGATAAGTTGGATAGCAGTTATGATATTTGTTGTTCCCATACAAGTCCCCACATACACAACCCTACATTTTGGTAGTATAGACACTCTTAATGAAAGAGAGCATTGAGAATTTGGGTCTCAAGTGCGTTTAAGTTATCTCTATAGATAAAAGTGGAGGAGACCATATGCTGCCTCTTGGCACCTGCTAATTGCTTTGTGTCTATAGGTAGAGTGAACCAACGAATTCAACAACAACGACTATGCAAAATGTCATGTAATAGCCTTGAGCATGAACAACAACATTCACAGATGCGGGTTGTCAATTGATCGTGAGTGTCACTAGTTTGCCTTGCAGCTACATCATTTGGGGTGGAACAGCTAAGTAGTGTTGCATATTCTTTACAGCATCGATCGATTGCACAGATTTGGCGACAGCGAGTAATGTACGAAGTCATGGTGCACGGTGCACCCTATATCATACTCGCCCAGCGACACTCTGCTCGCTCAAATTTGTGGGCATTTTTGGATTCCTGTAAATGATTGGGCCAAAAATGGTGCTGCGGGCTTGATTTGCCTCGTTGCATGGGAGCTAACAATTGTCACCAACAATGGTGACAACATCAGCTCTTGCCACACTTTCCTGAATCGTTGCAGCAAATACATTCATACCGATGCTGAGCTCAGGCCCTGAACCTCAGGGTTGGTGCTTGTATTCAAGAATATGTGGGATTTCAAAATTGTTTGCAAGAGCTACAATCAACTGATCATATGCCATGAGAGCATGGCTTCGTCGGCTCAAGGCCCTGTCACAGAGTCAGCAAGGAGACAGTCAGCACTATCGCTCCACTGATTCCATTCAGTGAGATAGCGACACAAGCACTGCCCCGGCGCCATCATGACGATGATGAGCAAAATTATGTCCATAGCATTCCATGACTTTCATTTACCCACTCAACAAAGGAAGCAGCAAAAAATTGGCGTGACAAGTGGTGGGCAACATGTCTGCGGCATCCATGCCAGCGATAGCAGCATGGGCATGAAATGCAGGGCAGCACTTTCCAACCACGCCTCACTGCACACGCCACCGATGCCAAATGCACAACAAACTTCACATTGTTGGGCACATGGGATGATGAACCATCACCCCTTTTTCTCCATTTAGCAGTTCAAGTGCATTGAGCACCAGCTATGATCCAGACTGGCATCTGCACTCTTACTCTTCACCCAAACTGCATTTCCAACTATTGCACATTATTTCAAAGCCTGGTTTTATACTGTCCAGAGTTCTTATCATCCCTTCTGTAAAGCAACCACAGGGCTTTGAAACACCGAAAACCTCCCTAACAGGACCACCGTCCTCATCATCACACTGGTGAGCCTGTGGGACAAGTTGTGCACCTGCACCTGCACATCTCTACAGCTATCTATTCTAATCATCCGCTGCTGCATTCTATCCTGTGCTGCATAGCTTATGCCTGAAATGGCAGGTTTTGCTGACAAAACCACTACAAGACTGCATGCCCCCACACAAAAATCTCCCATCGCCCCAGCTCTTCTCCTCCCTGAGTCATCACTGCATGGAGCCATAGCATACTGCGATGTCAATACTCCATGCAATCTGATCAGCAAGGACATCAGTAGCCCTTACAGCTGCTCAAGACAACCAGCTGCTTGCAGACATGCTTGGAAAGCAGTGCGCACCAAAATCAACACAACCCCTCATTTTGACAGTTTTGTCCCTTCTCAAGTTAAGAGAGCCAGTGGATGACTGCGTCTCCGTTTCTGTGAGTGTTCTCTTTATTGGGGCTTCCATCCTAAACTGGTTCAAGAAGTCTTCTGCTTGGGAACACTCCTGAAATTCTGTCTGGCTCAGGCGGAGCTTCGAATGCGAGCCCAGGCCCCGTGACATATTGCACAGAGGGCACGAGCAGCCAGAGCCCACCGAACAAATTGACGGCCAGCGGTCGTGTCCCATTGGCCCATCATGGTGGGATGCACCTCTGACAGCGGCGCCTCCCATCCTCCAGTCCTTCTCAGATGGTGATTCCAAGGGCGATCCCGCGCAGATCTGGAAGCTTGGTCCGTTGGTGAAGGCCGACTCTGTTATAGGCGATTCCTGCTCAAAGGGGGCGAATGAGAAACTGTCCAAGGCCGGGGGCTCCTCTGCCTTGCCTTCATCTTCGGACACATCCGTGATGGTCGCCAGGCCCCCAGCTTGCTTGGCGGAGTCCAAAACATCCGCCTCCACGGGGCCAATGGACCTGTTCTTTCGCACGAGGACCAACATTTCCACCCCGGAGTCCACCTTGTCTTTTGAAGACATGCCGCTGCCCACAGAACTCGAGGGCGCCAGCGGCTTAACCATCTCGTCCTCCTGGCCTCCCTCTATATGCACTGTCCAAGGCATCGGAATGGTGCACCCCGTGGCCTCGCGACGCCTGACGCTCAGGCTCGCCTCCCCGGGGCTGCACCCGGCCACGCCCACGAGGTCCTCGGCCGTGCGAAGATCGATGGGGCCATGCTTGTCAACCTCGGGCCATGCCGACGGGACCTTTACAGGCCGCGGGGCAAGCATCGCCGCCCAGCCGCGCTGCAGCACAACAACGCACAACAGAGTCACGGTGAGGCTCCAGCGCAGGCACCGGGAACTCCATGCATGCGTCGCCTCAGCTGAGAATACCACCGGGGGTTGATGCAGCGCGCCCTACTCTGCTCATACTTTGATGGGTCAATAGCGCCAGCAGCCCCGCAGCCAGGACAACGGTGTGGATCGTCTGGATGCCGCCAAAAGCGTGGGCGGCTACAGCACGGGGCAGAAACAGGTGGTACGGATTCGCCAAATGTGCGGCGGTGATCTTGCTCTGAGGCTGGCCTTGGTACCTCACCTTCGCGGGCGGGGGAAACGGAGGCGACCTGGATCAGTGCCGCCGGCGTGCCAGTCGCCCGATCGCCGTCGCAGCCCCTCTGCAAGGCGCGACGCCCCACCGCGGCTTGTCACATCCGCTGGTGCTGCCGCCGGTGACGTCCTGGAACAACGTCGTCCCGGCTGTGGGCGTGCCTTTATGACAGGCGCAACGCAGCTGTGCATCATTACCCGCGACAATCGCCATCAACTCCCATCAATTCTCGGGGGGTGGTCTGTGGGGCTTGTCGAGTGCACGCTTTGGAGCGTGGATGGCCCCCGAACAGCACCGGGGCTATCGCCAAATGTGGCCCTAGTAAGTGGGCAGGGGACACAATGGGGACCGTTTCTGTTTTGCACCGCCGGCACAATAGTATCAATCGATAAAGATGCTCTTAGGGGCCTCCAACATCACCTGAATCCATGATCCCATTTTGCGTATCGCACATTCTTTCCATGTGCGATCTTGTCCTTGCCCGGTGTCATTGCCCCGCTGTTTTGTATAATGTACTCTCCTCGACACCTCAGAGGTTGGAGACCATCCCCTTCCCATTACATACAATGTTATCGCATGTGCCTGTGCAGTGGATCGTCCCACTGCGTTGGTCCCAACATCGTTCCCTGAGGGCAAAGCCACGTGTCAGGGCCATATTCTGGTGGCTGCCAGTGCAATCGCCAAAATAGAGAAGGGGCTGCCTCAGAGTCCATGATGCTTTGGTGGACAATGGTACATCGTGCCCAGTGACCCACGAGTGACAATATGTGCAGTCCGCAACCTTACCCAACTTTAACGCAGAATATGCAAACAAGGCAAGGAGGGGAGACTTCATGACAAGGGTCACCCCTGGGAGTCAGGACGCCCTCCAGAGGTTGTGTATGTATCGGCGGCACAGCCCTACGTCGAATTCAGCAATGCTAACCACTCAGCATTTGAGAGGAGCAGATGATTGCACTCACTGGCTTGGTGGTATCCAGGCGACATGCGCCCCACCCACCTACCGACCCGTTCACTCACATGGCATGGACACACAATGACACGAAAGCGGGGCCATACAAATCCACACCTCAGCACACAAAAAGCAACTTCCAGCAGGTTCACCCTGCAAGGCCATTCGTGAATTCACTCCAGTTATTAATCGCTGCCAAACATCGCAATTCCAAAGATACGAATTTGGCCAGCAAGCAGCAACGTCCGGTGAGCGATCCTCCTCCCAAATTCCTACCAATTTCCATGCCAAGATTGCCTTTGTTCGCGTCCTGTTCAATCTAGAAATCCCAGTTTCCAGCGGGTAGTTGAACCAAGACTCAACATGCACAGCCTGACCAGGAATTCCGTGCCAAAACTTGCAATGCCGTCGGGCACATAGCTAGCAACCTGCCACTGAAGTCTGCCAAGTTTTATTGGCAAGGCATTCTGAGATGTGCTCAAATGTTGGAGCCCGTTAACATCGCGTGGTCTTCGCGAAGGGGCTGTCGTCACAACGGTGTGGTCGTAACTTCGAAGCTGGAAGAGGGAACCAACCGCGGCCCGTTTATCAGGTCCTCGCAGAACCAAAATGCGACGCAAAACTCCGCAGGCCAGCAGGCCGAGCACACCCAGCTCCTGGAGTCTGAGCAGTCGACGCAGAGCAGTTGGCGAAGGCGTTTGCGGAAAGTCTGCGCAACAGCACGGAATTACAGGCTTCAGGCCATCAGCCATATTGGAGTTGTTGGGCAATATCTCATGAGCATGCAATTGAACTCTCCGTCCAGAGTGTTCTATTGTTTCACAAGCGGCCAATAGTATCCTAATTCAGGCATTGAAACTTTGCCAGTACTATGTATTTGAAGTACTTGAAGCAGCACTGCGAATGGCGGAGTGATTCGAAACACTGCCACCAGAAGATAGTCGTCATGGTTAAGAGGACGCTATGGAAAAAATCACCATCACTGTGACAGGCACACAGTATATCATTATCTGGTAATCAAAATTTAATTTCTCTGTGAAAGCAAATTTCCAGAGCTTCTTCTAATTACTGTGCTCTGTTCCATGGTTGGTAGTGACACAAGCGTATCGATTATCATAGCAGATTGCAGCCACAAATTGAACGCAATTTGCAGCCGTACACAAGAACATATTTGCGACGCCGTCTGCAATCCCACATGACACAAGCTGATGCCATCGCAACTGCTTTGATGCACATATCACTTCGACGGCGTCGCTTAGCGTCAAATGTCGCCGAAGCTGGCATCGCCAAAACGGTGTTTCCGGCCAGTGTTGGTCACTTCCTCCTGTAAATTGGCTAATGATCACTGTGCATGGATCTCTGCAGTTTATTTTCACAGGTGAGGACAATGTTCAGCATTGACTGCATGGAATACACCCCAAGCTATTCTTGATGAGACCTTACCGTATTGGCATTCCCATTGAGGATCCGTTGTAGCAGGTCCACATTCGACAAGTTCGCAAATATGTTATCAATGGTTGACTCGACTTCCAACGTTAGGCCCGCCGTTCCCGCTGAACGCCAACACAACGGAGAAACATATTGCTCAAGTTAGTATGTCAGGTAAATGGAAGGAATGGAAAATGAATTGTCTGAGTTCTGCAACAACAGGACAAAAGTGCAATTGAAAGACCCACTGGCTGGCCGTGCATTCATCCCCAGCACGCCCTCATTTCCTATCACAGCACCGCCGACAGGGCTCTCCGCCCAGTGCCATTTCCCGCAACAACTGCTAAAGAGTCAATGGCCTGTCAGATTGCCTGACCACTACCGGCTCGCTTACCTTCCTGGGACGGAAGAATCGCAGCACGGAAAAGAACTTCCGTGAGCTTTCCCTCCAGACCAGGCGCGGACAACACCGCCAAAGCCACGGCCTTGATAGCAACGACGTCACCATTGGAGTTCCGGTCGCCACTCGGTGCCCCGCTGACGCCTGGCGGGATCTGCAGGCCCAACACCAGCCCCGCGATGTCGTCAGAGTCGATGAACACCTGCGCGGCGGCGTTGATGTCTCCCGCCAAGATGGCGCTCCCCAGTGCGGCAGCCACTGCTGCCGTGACGGGCGTGGCCGCAGGGAGGGGGGTGACGCTGAGGACGCCAGAGGAAGAGGGGGGCGAAATTGGGGCCGCATTCGCAGCTGCAGATGCAACGCCTGCAACGGTGGCTGCAATTCCACCAGCTGCGGCGACTGCCAATGGGATGCCAACTGCCAAACAGAGCAAGCCGATCCGATGGAACTGAATTGCGGAGAACGGAATGCAGTCATCGTCCATTAACCCATGCCAGGAACCACGAAGGAAGCAACGGCCACAACTGCAAACGTGGAGGTTATCAGATTCCTGTTGAGCATTGATGCTGGGCCTAACCAGGACACCTTCAGCTTCGTTATCACAAACCAGCCACATTCAGCTTCAAAATATTTTGAAGCCTTCTTCGTGTCGAATACAAATTCACCACTTCACAAACAGTGAATGAGAACCTGTTCAACACCACCATGGTCTAAATGAAGATTATTGGACATACTTCATCTTCAAATGGAGGGATGAATTTGTACCAAAGTGACATCTCATTGTGTGAAATGGACCATATACATTGAAAACCCGGGCGAAGAGTAGCGGTCGCACATTCAATCGATAGATGTGGTGGCACGTTCTTGCGGTCCTGCCATACTGATGCGGGGAGCGAACTGCGCATAAACAATGCTTTGTATCCATGCCATCACACCACTGGATGTACGTGCCTTAAGACGCATCTGGGTATTAAAATTCTTTGCTTTTTCTGGGGACACTATCCACGCGCATACATCCGCCAATGCGCAGTGTTGGTCGTCGGTCAAGATCTGCGCTGGTAATGAACGATGCAGCGCATTCGCGCACTTTGTAGCTTGCACCGCGGGACGTTTTTCCATCAACGTCGTGCAAAACCCCCCATATTGGAAAAAAATCGAACACGATCGACGCGTCCTTGAAGATTTTTCTCTGGTATTGATCGCTTTCTCTTGTTGTATTCAGAACAGGCAAATTTCCGAAGCGAATTTGCGCCACCAAACAAGGTGCGCCATTCAGCAAGGCATCGGTGAACCAATTTCGAAATCAATTCACCGATACCAATCTACTTGAATTCAAGGAGATTCACAGTCACCATGCATCTGGATAAGGTGCTTTGGTTTGCAGTTGTTGCTGGTGTCGCAATGTATCCAATCTATGGACCGGCTGTGCTCGCAAATCTGCATGAAATAATGTGACAAACGCCGACGGACACTCAATCTTTGTCCAATGCATTCGAACATCGCAACTCTAGGCATTTGCTCACGGCAGCTACTGACGGCACTTACTCACAGAAACGACGGCCACTGTCGGATTATCGTCGTCGTCGTCGCCAGGAGGCGGGGGATGTGGGGGAGGGTGGTAGGAGAGGCCATGGATACGGCGGACTGCGCCAAGTTCCGGTTTAACACCAATATCAGCATCTACATCTAATTCTTCTTCCCTTCCTTCGCTGGAGGAAAAAGAGAGCAGACTCCGTGTCGAAGCGTCACTGATTGTCTCATATCCTGCACACACCATGCCCACAAGCTTACGAACTTCACTGAAACGAAGGCCATGGCAGGTGATGTGGACACAACACATCAGTTGCCAACGGTTTTCTTAGGACACTAACATAAAATGGCTGGCATTCCATTACCTAGAGGAATCGTATACCGCAAATGGTGCTCATTTCGGCGCAAGTACGCAACCTCTTTAAAGCGAACATGACCGTCTCTTATCAAGGCATATGCAGTTTTTTTCAACATGCTGTTCGATGTAAACACATATGGTCACCTTACCTTCCCTCTTGAAACCCTTGTCACCGCACATCGATGAGAACGACCTCACAGCGTGTTACATATTGTGCATACCAAGCGCCAACGCATTGCGACATGGGTAGAGTGGTAGTTCACAGAGTGGTGACCACATCATGTTCGTTATCGCCACATCAGATAGAGGTTGATGGGACAGCGAAGGGCTAACGCTCCATACTGTAGCATCGCTGAGGAGCGTTGCCATATCAAGGCGCCTGGTCACCGCCCACTAGGAAAAAAAGGGCCAAACAACACGTGTTCAAATGTGTACAAAGTTTACGGGTTTGGGTTATTTTTGCGTTTTCAGCGTGCAGAACTTTGATGAAATGTGTTTTATGTGTGCTCTCAAAAGTGCTATTTGGTCCTTTTTTGCTAGTTTACATTGTAATCAGCATATTTTCCAACCTGTTCTAACCTGCAATAGCCATTACACGAAATGGGAGTTCATGACAGAACCCACCTGCACTTCATTGGCACTATATCCTAGGGCGCAAAAACAGGTCCTTCTGTAAAGTAGGATGAAGCGTACACATTTTTGCGCTTCAGCTCCACTCTGTGGTGGACAGTGTGCTTATCATCATCGATATCTGTAGCCTCAATTTCCATCGTAGATCATGGGAGAGATTTCTTCCTCAAAGCGCATGAGTTTCGTAAGGATGCCACGGCGCAAGGGTGCGCTGCAAGCAGGAGACCATGCAATCCCTCTTATTCCCGGGTAAGGGGCTGAAAGCATGTTACGACGTCACTGAGGCTTTCCTGCAGCGGCGGCTGCAGTCCGGATGTGCTGGTCTTCTTGGGGTTCCGCACATGGCATTGAGGCAAACGCGGGGATCCACTCGGGGTTGTTGCTTTGGTGTTGGGATCGCCACATCGTAATCAAGAATTGCTCAAGCCTCAAAATGGCAGCATGGGTGGCAAGCCACTTCGCTGGCTATGCTCCACTGGTTTTGCACAGGCGCCAAGGATGGCCAGATTCTGGAAATGGCTCCCTAGTTCCGGAATCCTGATGAGCAGGCACGGGTGCTGATTCAAAACTGAAGGTCGGTGAAACAAAGCACGCTTCCAAGCTCCTCGATAAGGACTTTTATGCGGCGCACACGCGTTTTGGACCTGTGGGACCGCTCCGGGTGAGCTGCGATGCATCATACTCTGTGCACAGGCCCTAGCATGGTGGCCCCCGGGGAACAAGGAGGCGAGAAACCTCACAACCCTTGCGATATGGCCACCCCTCGGCAGGGGCGCGCCGAAATGGCGCCTCGCGCGAGGCGCCATTCATGGATCGACATGGATCGCGGCGACTCATGGCCCCGAGAGCATCATCATGGATTTCGTGCAGGCTCGCAATTGAGCCATCGAGGCACCCGAATCGCACCATCGTCGACCTCGGCCGCCCCATGTGCGCCTCTCTGGAAATCCGCAGCGAGGACAAGTACCAGGAAGACGCCCGCCCACATCGACCTTCGGCAGGAGGAAAGCCCCATGGCCCCAGTCCCTACAGTCCGCAGCCGACCCACGGGCTCCCAGCTCCGCCCGTTGGCTGCGGAGCCTCTGTGCCTGGGGTCCCCAACGGGACGCAGGCTACGATGAGCCCTCCTTGGTAGTACATCACACCGCTTTCGACTTTTCAAGGGCTCGCATGTAAGCGGCACAGCGGGACGTTGAGCCGCTGGATCATGCCAAGGCCCCCCACCCCCAATGCCCAACGTCACGGCATCGGGTCACAATGTGCCGGTATGTATGGGTGCCTCGTCCCGGGTCAAGGGACGCAGCGAATGACAGCTTCCAGGCATTACAGCGGCGACGTGCCGCTGCTTTCGCGCGCTCCCAGGGACTAGCGATGGCTATAAATAGAGGCCCAATGTCGGCGCGAAGCAGGGCAGAGGCCGGCTGCTTGCTGCTCTCCCGCAGGGACTCTCGCGGTACTGTGTCTGCCACAGACCAGATTCCAGTACTGATGCAGCAACCATGCGCTCCTTCAGAACAGAACAGGGCCATACGAAATAGGCATACAGGGGCGGCCGATGCGGAGCGCAAGAAGCCGGACTGTTTTCGGCTCCTCCGCGCCTCGCCACTACTGCTGCATGCCAGACCACAACAACAATGATGCCTGTCGCGTCCCCCTTTCCACGTCACAGCACAATCTCTGAAAAGGGTGTCAAGCATTCCGTTTCGTCCTGTTTCGACTCCTCCAAGTTTCGACCCCCTGCAAGAAGAAAATATGGACACGACAATTCCAACGTTCCGGCTGGACTTCGGCAAAATCGCAATCGGCGAGTATGCTCGTATCTGGAAAGAGCACAACTCGCGATGTTGCACCTGGCTTTCACCAACGCCTTTATTTCGTGTTTTCCATAGCTAAATGTGGGGCCAATCCCCACGCGCTTGGGCGCCAGGGTGCCTCAACGTGTCGAAAAGCAGATTTCTCTTCGCTCAGCAGCCCACCAACACAATCAATTTGGGCATTCTCCAGTGCAATGAAGACCTCTCAAATCCTCTGATGGAGCAACCCACGGCGTATGCAATTCCAACTAAATATATCCCCCTCACAATGGAGTGCTTGTTACTTCGAAACTCGAGGAAGGCACCAGGCGTGGACCGTTTACCAAGTCCTCGCAGAACCAGAACGCCACGCAGAATTCCGATGGCCAGCACGCCGAGCACACCCAGCTCCTGGAGTCTGAGCAGTCGACGCATAGCAGTTGGCGAAGGCGCTTCCGGAGCGTCTGCCAGCAAGAACACAGTCGAACAAGTGTTTGAACCGTTCCGTAACGGCATCAATAAGCGAATGCCCTGTACAACCTGCAGAAGCCTTGTTTTATGGTTCGCAAAGATTCAACATGACGTGAATGAAAGCTTCAGCAGCATATTGGGGATGACAATTGCTTGTGCGGCGCCGCTTCATTTTGTTGTGCGCCATTCACTAAGCATGCATTCGTGAATTATAGACAAGAAAGTTAACGGTAGTGAGGGTCAGCCCATGCACATGTGTGTTCACTTGATGACGCCAGCACAATCTTTCATCAAGGGCCTTGATGAGACCTTATGGAACAGCTGTCATGAACCGGTTCAACACAGGGGTAGTGGTACCACTACCAGTGATACGCGTTGTCGATATGTTTGACTGTGGGACCAGAGACTTACAGGAAAGCGTACTTCACAATGGCAATGCTATGGCACCAATGCTCAGTTACCAGAGCTGGCACTCAGTCCCCATTGCTTCCACCCTCGCATTTCCTACCTTGGTGCGCCATTCAATGATGCAAGTTTATACTTCGACAATGAATTAATGGCACCTTACATAATCATTACCAATGGACCATTGTGAGAAAATTGTTCAACTTTTTGTTGCTTTCGTTCCGATTTTCCCTCCTTGGTGCAATGGAAAAGTGTGGCAATTTCAATCACCTGAGAGCTATGTAATCGCCCCTGCATATTTCTCACATCTCCGAATGCAATCAATGTTGATGGAACGTAAATTTGCGTTTTCTCTATTATATGTTCGTCACTTTTATTCACAAGAAAGGAATTCAGATGACTTGAGTAACAAAAATTCAAGATGAGTTGCAAATATGCAACATTTGAGTACCGCCATAACCGAGTGAGATATCTGCGGTGTCATGACAGTGTCTATTTGTTGCCGCATGTGCAATTTTGTGCCAAGAACCCGACCAATACGGGTAGTAAGACATATGTGCTCTCATGGAACAGCCACTTTGGTGCACTGAATCTTGCAGCAAGTTCACGAACAATACATTAAACTTCTGTCAAAATTTGCACATATGTCAATATGTACCAGTACAAAGATTTCTGGACTAAAGTCTGCTCTACTAGATAAGAAAAAGGCTATTGGAGTTTGCTTTCATACAAGAAAGCACTCTAGTATCGGCATGGAATCGCACCGTATTGGCATCTGCATCCAAGATCCGTTGAAGCAAATCCCGATTGGACAGGTTGTTGAATACATCATCGATGAGCTGTTCAATTTCCAGAGTCAGGCCCTTGTTGCCAGCTGCAAATTAAACGAAGGTTCAGTCAAATAGTTCAACGCCAAAAGCTCATTTAGGTAACCAGCTGCACTGTTCGGACTCACGTGCCGCAGATTCGCCAACAACTACTTTGTGTTCTACATGACGGCGATTTCACTTCAACGATTTCTACGCACAGAATTTTGCATCATGCAAAGGTCAATATGCTTCTCTTGTTGGGTTTGAGCGCCACTAATTGTACAGCATGTTTGATTGCCCATGTTTGGCTTCTCACCTAAAAAAATTAAATTGAGCAAATTAGCTGGAAATCGCACAGGATATCCTGCACGCATAGACATATGATGATGACGGAATTCGCGTGTTAAGCGCCCGTGCATATGTAAATACCTTCTCCACCTCGACCTTAACTGTACGTTGCAGGAGGCATTCTCGCAAAACCAGAAATACCAGATAACTGTAATAAGTTACAATCCATAACAAGCTCCAACCCCATTCGTCATCACGAGCATCATGACGTGTAGTCCCAGTACGAAAGCGCTGCATGGTATCTTGCACTGGTAGAAAACGGCATGTCTACGATGCCAACTGCGATGCTATTTTGACACAAAGCGATGCCGTCACAGTGATTGCGATGGCCTAAAAGTGGCTGTGATGGCATCAATTTGCGTCAAATGGTGTCGCATTTGGCATCGCAGACAGGCTGTTTTATACTGGTGCTGATGATCGCGAGTGCCCTTTCATTGCATTTGCCCTCTGCCATGCAGCAATAGGGACTGCAACCTAACGGAATCAAGGCGCTGAAGCCGTGCAGTGTTCTAAATGCAGGCAGTCCAAACGTCATTCTCACCTTCCTGAGAAGGGAAAATCGCTGCACGGACGAGGACCTCCGTCAGCTTGGATTCGAGTCCCGCTGCAGACAGAATTGCCAACGCCACGGCCTTGAGTGCAACGACGTCTCCATTCGTGTTTCTGTCTCCGCTGGGTGAGCCGCTGATGCCTGGAGGGATCTGCAGCCCCAGCACCAGCCCCCGGATGTCGTTGGATTCGATGAACAACTGTGCGGCAGCATTGATGTCTCCTGCCAAGATGGCACTCCCCAGTGCGGCGGCTACTGCTGCCGTGACGGGCGTAGCCGCAGGGAGGGGGGTGACGCTGAGGACCCCCGAAGTGGAAGGGGGCTGGATTGGGGGTGCAGTTGCAAGGCCCACTCCGGCTCCCACCACAGCCGTCGCCAATCCTACTGCGGCGACACCCGTGGGAAGGGCAGTGCCTGCACATCGATTTCCACCTCAAGCCAAAACACAGGCTGATATCCCTCGCAGAATGCCGCCAGTTTCACCATGAAAATGCATTGCAAAGTTGCTCCCAAAGGATAGTTATGCTTTGGAAACGGCTGCAAAATCCTGCCGTCATTTGTGAACGGTTGCCATAATAGGATGGACCAAAAACCCATAACACAAGATATGTTTATCATGTACCAGGAATCCCGTTTTGACCGTACTGCAGGACGTGCGTTCCAACAAAGCCTCTGGTTTCTTCATGTCGTCGCTGCCGGCGCCGAAACAGTCTGGCTGAGGGAACCAAACGGCAAGTACTGAACGGTGAGCGCCCGGCCAGGTATGATAGTTTTCCACGCGCACGGTGTGCTGTGCACCAAACACTCACTGACTGCGATCGTGGTAATCTCAGGTCCTCCGAAGCCCTCGTCATCCTTGTCTTCATCCTTGTCGTCCCCGCCACCATTGGAGCCCCCGCCACCATTGGGCTTTTCCCCCCCGGGAACGTCTACAATGGATACGCTTGCCTCGCTTTCCGCGTCGAGAAGACCAAGGAGGGCGTGGCCCAGTCCGCTCTTGCTCGTCTGACGTCCTGCAGGATCCACAGACAAAGCTGCGCTGGGAGTTGAGGACGCTTGGGCACAGCGCATACGCAATCGCTCCCCCCCCGGAACGCTTTGGCCTGACCAAGCAGAGGCAATGGATCCAGAGACTGATTTGGATGCGGTGGGCCTACATGTCGATCGGGCGGGAGCGATCGCCGCCTCGAGGCACGTCCGAGGCGCTGCCGATTGGACACAGCTCCTGTGGCTCTTCCACAGGGCAATCGAATCGCCAGAGCTTCGCATGGGCATGGGTGCATGCGCATGCCTATGCGAAGCACGGAGGGCGCACCTTCAATGGCTCGATCGCTCATGCCAGCGATTGACCAAGCACCGTTCCGCCAGCGGCACAATGGAACCTGGCTCTTTACAGCGAGACCCCTGTCCGGAGAACGCTACACGGAGAGATTCCCCACGAACCACATATGTCCGTGGCATCACGCCATTGAGCGCTTCCCAAAGACCCCTATACACCGCGACGACTCGACGGTCATCTCCCCAGCGCCGCTCCGGGGAGAGTTTTGGCATCACGGGCGAGCCGCGATCCCGCACAGCCTCACCATGTTCTCCGGCAGACGTCACGGAGCTACCCATGCCGGTGCCGATATCTGAACTGGCCGCTGCGAATATCGCAGCTAGCGCAGCCGTCGCCCCAACGACCCAGCAGATCCTCATGGTGGCCATGGCGGAGGCCACGGGATTCCGCAGCGCCTGCAGAGGATCGGAAAGCACCTTACGTAGGTCAGGCCGCAACTTCGGCCCGCGTCCAAGAAAAGACCCTTGGGGTGGGCCGCGCATTGGCTGATGCGTTGGAGCTTGTTGAAGTGGGGGCGGCCCGCCACGCTCAGGTCAGCCCGTCAGGGGTGCAGTGCGTCATGGAAGCATCTGATCCTCAACTGCTTCCTTTTCCCGCGTCCCTCACGTGGTGGATCCGATTTGAAGACGTCTGGAGGACCCCAATTGCTTCTGCAGATCGCATTGGATAATTAGCCAGAGCGCGTCACGTCCCGCACACGAAAGATGTTAAGACGCCCTCTGATGGGACCGCAGACGCCTAGTTCAATCAACAGGGCTCTGAGCGGCTGCGTGAGGAAGGTGACGTTGAGCATCACAACGCTACCACCCGCAAACTCAATGAGCATGACAGCGCCTAAAGAAAAGTTTCCCGCATCGCAACAGGATCCCCACCGACAGACCCATGCTGCATCGGCAGTCGACGCAGGCGGTCGCAAATCGCTTGTTTCGCCTTCCCCGATGGGACTGGACTTGCTATGATCCAGCAGTCTCGTCAACGATCTGATCAACGTTTCAGGGTGTCCAAACTGAATGGGTCTAAATGGCAGATCAACCGGCGCTGGTGGTCCCATCCGTATGGGGCACACCAGCGGCCATATCAGAAAGGCGCGAGAGCTGTTGTGGTGGCAATGACCGAAACTGCGATCGACGGCCAACTCGTCGATGGGGCAGCGTGGACAGCCAGCGTGCGAGAAAAGTAGCAACTGGCTAAGGGAAGACGCTATGTCAATTTCAGTACGCTGAGCGTCAATTTGACGTTACGCTGAGACACCTCCCCTCACCCCCTCCCTTTGCGCCAATCCTTATGTCGAAGCCAGGATGACTCAGCAACATTAGCTAATAGTGGTATTCAATTTCCAGGTGTTTTTAAGGAATAAAGCAATCAAAGTTGTGCTGATTTAAGCGAGTTCAAGAAACGGATTCTAAATGCCATCATAACTGAGGCGGGCAGCCTCAATGGCCGCAAATTGATCCACTCTAAGGACTTCTTTGTAGATCAACAACTTGCTGGAGACTTAGCAACATGTCAGTGGCGCTTTGGGGCACTTTCCTCTTTATGTCGATTTTGTGGCAATTACACAATCGCTTAGCGTCCCCCTTGGCTAAGCATACCGAAATCGACATATTGGCTTCCCTAAAAGTAATGATGCATCGATTTTGGTATCCTTATCGTCAAAGTTGCACTGAACTCCCGGGCCCCATTTTGCACCCGCATTGTGTGCTCGTCATCTCGCTCTTGGAGACTATGTAAATTTTTATTAAAAAGGTGATATGTGATCACAGCGTGGAAAAGAGTCCCACACACACTTGCAGAGGAGGGCGTGGCATTTAATGACCTCTTTCTCCGAGGATTAGGCTTCGTCTTTATGTTTACGTTCCCCTTTTTTCGTTTAGGTTTTTATGCGTAAAACGCAAAATTTCAAAAGGGGCTATTTTTGCAGCTGTATTGTATTTACGTATTGTTGCGGCTCGTTGAGGCACCAGCGTTGCATGATGAAGTCGGTTACAATGATCAGCCCTCCGCTTCTCAAGCACCTGCAACACATCGTCCACCTCGCCGTAAGCAAGCGCAAAGACGTGGTCGAACCAAAGGTCGTTTTCTGCCCACTCCATCTAGCTGCCACTCGCCCGATTCCCTGAGTCTGCATGTACTGTTTCCATGTACACAGATTTACGCATTTTAACCCCTTTTTACTAGTCAAAACGTACATACTATTCTTGCGCCTAAAACATGAATACGATCAGTGTTTACGCCGTGGATAACATGCCTGCCGCGGAGTGTTGCCAATCTTACTCATCTTATCGTGCAACGAGCGCTAAGCGTACCAAATTTAAAATAGAGTCTCCCCCATGCTGAGCTCAAAATGATGGCCTGATCATAGAACTTCCCTGCCACAATATTGTGTGTCACAATATTATTAATAACACAATAATTGGTGATGAAGGGGGCGAGGGTTGCATCGCGAGGACGCTAAGAGATTACATAATTGCACTAACGTCAAAATAAGCCCAGGAAGGGTACAGAACTGCCTTCGTGGTGTGAGAAGATAGCCCTGCCGACATCCCTTCGATCCCCGCGATTGCGCCCGTGCCAGGCGTTGCGATTCTCGGTGTTGTTGTCGTTGGGCACAAGTCCAGAGTTAAGTGCATGGTGGCTAGCAGTGCTTACGGCCCACAGGCAGTCCATTGGGGCAGAGGTCTTTGGGCTCAAATACAGATGCTAAGTGATGATTTGCAACGGACTGGATGGTCGGCGTATGGGGATTGCCAGGCCAACGGGTCATAGATTGACGATCGTAGACGGAAGGACAGAGAACGGGCACTGAGAGGAAAAGGTGGCGGCCAGGGCTGTGAACTGACATGGATTGCTGTTGTGGTAAACTCATGCGCCCGATAGGCATTTCCAATCGTGCCCAGCCGGCAGCGGCAGTGGCCAGCGGTCTTTTGCCAATCAGAGCTGAGCTATCAGTTCCGCTTGAGTGGTCGTCGCGAGGAGTGCTGCGGAGCAAGCAAGCGCAATGGGGTCAGGGGATGCAGCAACTCGGGAAATACAGACGGTTCGGTGGCAATGGCAGCCAAGGTTGGGTAAACGGGCAAGGGCCTAAGTAAAGAAGCATGAAATGTAATTTTCAGTAGCCTCGTACGGGATGCCACACTTTTGACTTTAATACGCTTTGCGCCAATGGACTCCGAGAATGCCCAGACTGTGAAGGCAACCGCCGTATCCAACAAAATCGAAACAAGGCGGGAAGATGCCGGAATAAGACGATCGCCGCGTGCAAGAAACATCATGCGCCCTAAAATGAAAACAGTGCCTCCTCATGCATGTGGGAAACAAACAGCCTAGAAACGTAACGGGATCATTTGCAGCGAATACCTGCATACAAAAGGAACCAAGTTAGTGGCTTTCACTCGCGGCGGAGGAGGAACAGATTAATGTCAGACAACATGCATGTGGAACCCTCAGATTCTGCAGCATGAAATGGACTTCTCCTAGGACTCGTGTTGTTGTTGTTTGACTTGAAACAGTAAAGAATCGTTATAGAAGACCAGGAAAGCTGGTGCATGATGATATATGGCGCATGTTGTCAAATGCAATTCAATTTCTCATAAGCAATGCCTATGGTGCAACATCGCACCGCGTTAGTGTCTGCACTCAGTATAGCCTGCAGCAGTGCCCCGTCGGACAGTTTGTCGAGCAGCTTCTCAATTTTTCACTCGGCATCCAGAGTCAATCCTGTGTTTTTGACTCCAAATTGAACACTGGATATTAAGTACAGCTGATATTGAAGCGTCACAAACATATGCTCTACACATACGCGCACGTGCCCTACAATATCATACCCTTCGGCATACCAACGTTACGCTTGGCATTTCTTACGCAGCAACACAAAATCATAAACTAACGCTCTGAAACAACTCATATGTGCGGTACATAGCAACGCTGACTGCGATTCATCAGATCAATCAATGAGGTTTCCTGGGCGCCGCGCATGTGGACAAAAGTTCTGATAGTTGCGTTTCCAACCGGCGGTAGCATTATGCAAATAATAGAAAAGATTCAGCCTTCAGCCATTGTACAATGGCTGCACACATGTGTGGGCATCGTGTGAACCATTATAACATACAAAGCGCCCTTGTGTGGTGCAGGGAATCAGCTGAGAAATACGTCATGATCCCAGATTTGCGTTTTCCACGTGAATGCACTGCACTATACTTGGGGAGTAACAGCAATCCGGACGTTACGAATAGCAAGCTGCCATGTTCGCGTATGGATCCGCCCCGTCATGTTTGATTGCGAAGAGCAACGGCGGTCAGATTCAGCCAAGGCACAAATTCTTTTTCCATGGAACACCAAGACGGCCGGGTCGGCAAGGACATCATGATGCACAAAGACACGCACGAGCAAACTCATCTATTTTAAATATCTCACCTTTGCGAGAGATCAAGATCGCTGCACGGGAAAGGATCTCCGTCAATCTACCCTCTAGACCTGTCGCAGACTGGATTTCCAATGCCACGGCCTTGAGAGCAACGACGTCTCCATTTTTGTTTCTCCGCTGGGAGCACCACTGAAGCCCGGCGGCATCTGCAGGCGAACCCCAGCCCCCGATGTCGTTGGATTCGGTGAACACCTGCGCTGCAGCATTGATGTCCCCTGTCAGAATGGCGCCCCCGAGTGCTGCCGCGACAGTGCCGTGAGGGGCGTGGCCACTGGGAAGGGGGTGACGCTGAGAACGCCCGAAATGGAAGACGGCTGGATGGTGGGTGCAGTTGCAATGCCCACTCCGGCTCCCACCAGAGCCTTCGCCAATCCTGCAGCTCCGATAATTGCCGGAATGCCGCCGATTGAATTCAGTTGCCGCCACCAATACTATTGAAACAACATAACAAGGAAGAAATGGTTGCAAAGTTTGCATTCCAGACTACCGATTGTAACTTGGGGATCAATGTCTCCTCGAGTGCGCGTTGCTGAGGAGGTCATTTCAAATAACATTTGCAATTCTGGGAATTCCCTGCAGCCCAGAGTCAGCACTATGAAATGCCCGTATTGCGACACCCTTAATCTGCTTCGCTTTTGCAATCAGCAACATGAGAGCGTATAATGTCGCGAAGCCATTCTTAATATAGAACATTGTAATTCTCTGCAATAATATGGTTCTTCAAACGCACATATTCAGATGCCCAGCCACATCGCATACGCACGCGTTGATTCGAACGCTTGCAACACATGGGAAACCAGGATTGCAGATATGCGGGCTTTACATGCATCGATCAGCTCATGCGGCAACTCGCATACGCAGACAAGGCTGTGATCAGGGAGCAATTGTGGCGTGTTACCAGTTCCCGCACATAGAATATGATCATGAAGACAGGTGGCCTGCGGCCATGACACTTCGGCCACCAAAAGATTCCTCGTCCGCGTGATGCGGCTTTCGCCAGCGCCTCAGGACGTCGATTGCCCATCGGGACGCGTTCTCAACAACGGCGACAGGCAAGGCCATCTTGACAGTGTCGTCTTCCATGAGGAGTTCGAGGCGCGAGACGCCGGCGGCAATCGGGCGCACTGTAACCAACCGGACCAAGGCAAATTTGCCTTCCCCAAGATCCGAATCTCGAACGCCAGCCGTTGGGATGCCCACACTTGCCCACAGTTGAGATGCCCGTTATCTCCAAAAGGGTGCAGCAACGGCAAGAGAAGGCGTCGCATTGCGCACAGTCACAGTGTGTCGGACCTAGCCGTTGCAATGCACCAATCAGCAAATCGGACGGCCCACAATGCATTACTTCCAGAATCGCGATCTGGCCAACAAAGCCAAGAGCGGGACCAACGGGTACATGCAACATGCAAGGTATCGCCCATTCAGCCCTACCGCTCTCAAGCGCAAAAGTGGGGGGCGGATTTTGGAATCAGTGTGCGCAGGGAGAGGGGACCTTCTTGTCGCTCCAGCCCTTGCATGTCAGCCAAACAGCCTCGTAATGGTTGGCTTGAAAGAGCTGCTTCGATTAGCGTCCCGGTTGAGAGAATGCTGCGCGAAAGATTGTGTTCCACGCACAATTGGACAGAACTTCATCAGTCTCCCGTGTGTACTCAAGGTTGCCGTCAATGACTCCACGCACGACGGTGTGCAGAACCAAAATCGCGGCGACCGCGATCGCGACCTTGGGGGATGATCGGATCGCCTTGGCTGCGCTCAGCGGCTCCCTTGGGAAAAGAGCCTTGGAAAGGTGGATGTCCGTATACCACCCTGGTAGCTGTGCGCCTGAAGCTTCCAACAGCGGGCCCAATGACCTCAATGGGGCCTTCGCTTAGCTGATCATAGGTATGTTATTGTGCGTGTACCGTAGATCACAGAGGATGCCCGCCCGCCCCGTTCCACATCAGGCTGATGTCAGGAATGGGGCGGCGCTATCTTGCGTGGCCCCGCGCTATTTTCCGTGCCCCCCCCCCGCGTTCCGCATCAGGTCGCTGAGTCAGTAGCGTCCACCCGCGTACCGGCAGCAAAACGTGCCGGCGCCCCACCAGCTTAGCACAATACACAAGGTGCAATTCGCGGCAGCAACCAAAACCGGCGCCAAAAAACGTGACGTGACGCCACAGGTCGCCGCATTATGCCGCGCCACCCACGTTGCCAGATTGATTGGCAAAGTGAACCGGCGCCTGGCCAATGTAGAGTATGACATAATTTTACATAGCATTACAATCACAACACCAACCAATAACAGCTATTGGGATGTCGCACTGCACTGGAGACAGCCTCGAGGTCCCGATGACCTTGGTTTGAGTGATGGTAGTATGGAGCTGGACGCTGAGAATCTTAAGGATACGGTGTTTCATTGAAGGAGGAATGCCATGGCAATGTTTAGTTGGAGTGGACCTGATAACATCGGGGTAATAGCACATGCAATCAGATGTAAGAATGCGTGAAAATGCTTTTGCGTTGCGATTGTACCTGATGTTGAAGTGAATATTGCCCCCCTGCGCCATCTTGCGCACCTCCCGTGCTCTGCAGCACCGGCCACAATGATTGACAACGCCGGAGACGTAACCAAGAGGCCCCACACTATTCAACACCCCCCGCACTATCCTCCGTGATCTATGGTACCTTCAATGACAGGACGTCGCTGACGCACAGTTGCGGCCCTTTCCAACATCATGGAGTCTGTCGTTCCAAATGACGGAAGAGCACACTTTCGCATTCTGTGCTGGTAGTGTCAGTACTTGTCACTGTCCAGAATCACAGCTGACAACCGATGGCAGCGGTACATAACGCTGGATTGTGGTTGATGGCTTGTCCAGACCCTTCAATGTGGCGCACGATGGGAGTTAAAGCCAAAGTTCTTCATCCGAGTTTGAAGCTCATATGCCATTGACGGTTGTGAGGGAGGTCATGCTTCACGCCAGCCTGAGTTCTTTGTGATGCTGTCGAATGATGACACCAGAGCTGGTGGCTTGGATACCAGTTGAACCTCCTAGATTAAGAGGAGGTTCGATTGGACTTCAGGCCTCCAGCTCCGGTTTCATCATACCTGATAATATCAGGCAGGTGCTCCGGCCACTTTGTAAATGCGCAAGGGAAAGAAATTCATTTCATCTCCTCTTAAAGCACACCCGTTCGTCAGCACACCATTTGCTTTGTCAGCATTGTACGGTCTTTCTTCACGCCGAACAGGCAATTGCACATTGCCAAGTTTAACAAGCCAGATTGCGTTTTCCGCCTTGCAAACTCGACCTCTCGGAGCACCTCCTTCCTAATTTCCTTGCCCCTTTGTGGAAATGGAATTAACTATCCTGTTAACGGGTTTCTGCAAAGGGCGACGATTGGGAGGGCGCGCAACGGCCAGGTCGGGCCGTTCCGCCTTTTGGGACAGTTTGGGCCATCCATAAGCCGGTTTCTGTCACCCCTGTACTCGGGGTCAGCGCTGCCCAACGTATCCAAGGGCGCTTGGGTTGAACCTTGTACCTTGGGCGCAGCCAAGGGGACCGGCCAAGCTGGCCCTTGGGTTTGGCAGGGAGTTTGGCGGCAAGTGGGAGCGGCTATTTTAGGCGCGACCCTTGGCGCCCCCCTTTATCTTGTTTCGCACCCGCCCGGCCCACCCTAATAGAGTGAGTTTCGGTTAGCTGTGGGATGGAGAGGGAGTTGAGTACGAGGAAAGGAGAGCTGACTCTGGGTGGAGTCACCATCAGAGTGGCATTAAGTACTATGCGAAGCGAGGGCACATTTGACGTGGGTCGCCAATCGGGTCTTGTACTAGTGAGGTGATGGACACCAAACTGTGTGAGTGTAATGTATTGTCGTGTGGGGAACACGGGGGGTCGAAGGAGACCGGTAATGCAGAAACACCCGGTGGTGTGTTCTGTACATTCTTCTCATTGGAGTTCACAGGGAGCTGACGACTTCTCAACCTCTCTTTCTTGTCGTGGAAATGATTGATTGATTGTGCCAGAAGGTTCGACAGCAAAAGCAGCAACTCAGGTAGAAGGCCAGCAGCTGGGGAGTCCACCGTCAACATGTGTCGACAGAAGCGCCCTCAGTGTGGAAGGCTGCACCAAAGCACTCCGGTGCTGGGCAAACCGCTGCTGCAGTGCAGGTGAAATTTTTCATTGTAAACAGATTCTCCAGTAATTGGACAAGGCTTTTGGTGGCCGATGCCTGGCGAAATTGAATTGACTGCAATCGTGTAAGCTTGACTTGTGTCTTACTTCCGGCGCGTGTCACATCTGGGGAAGCAATTGAACCATGCTGAAGTTCTCTTTGAGGGAGATCCCAATCGTGTTCGGCAGGCAGGCACGTTTTCTGTTTCCGATTTTAGTTATGACGGTCCCCCCCCAGGGCTACAGCTGTGCTGGACTACATTCGATTGATGGCGATTGACACAGTATGTGCGCTGGAGTTCACCTTGAGCAATAATGATCCAAAGAGAAAAGCGCGTTTGGATGGGCGATGCTGTCTTTTCGCCCCTTTCGGTTCAATAATGGGTCGCATCAACAGCTATGTTGATGACTGTAAACTTGGCCACATGCCATCCAGGCAAGAAACGTGGGGCGAGCAGATTCTGGCGATCTTCATCCCACAGAAGTCGTTGCACCTTCAAAATGTTTCTTGGCACCTCGGGACGTGACCAGACAGCACTGCCGCATTTCCACACGCCACTATGATTTGGGGTCTGGAACGATCGCCACGGTGCGCGGAGGAATTTACCATTTAGCTTCTAATCAGTACTTTGCACATTGCCCTGTTCAGGCAAAGTATGGCAATCAAACTGCATAAAATTGCAAGCATGGCAACCAGGGTGCATATCCAAAGGCAAGTGGTGGCCCGCATCTGCTGAGCCACTGCGTGATCTTTGCGCTGTCTTGACACAAGGTCCAAAAAATAGGGACAAACCAACATGCCAAACGAGTGGCGTTGCGGCATCATCCTGGTGCTCAATTGACCAGCCAATACGCCCCACAAAAAGCCCATTGCACTCTTCTCAGCATTGATGTATATATGTGCCAACCAACCAAATCAAAGAAAGGCCCATCGGGGAGCCAAACCAGGGGGCCCCACACATGAAGAATCCCCAGTGCAGCTAATCATCTGCACATGACAGATCTTGAAACGACGTTGTCATCTAATCCTCATAAACCCTGCAAACATCAACAAAGCAGATGCTCAGGAAGCACAAAGGAACAGCACGTGTGCCACCCACTGTACACAGCACACAGTCTGCCCCGCTTCTGTGTTTTCGTCGCTGGGCACCCCTGACAGGCAGCCTGGTACGACCATTAGCTCCCTCATCGAAAGACATCTGAATCCTGCACAGCTGTGCACGGACCTGAGCTGCGACAGGTTACGCTGGAGACGATCAGCCAACAAAGATGCAGTTGTGTTCTGCACCTGTGCTGTGCTGAATTCTGTGCTATTGTTTGCAACGGCCAGCATTTGCCACTACCCCGTGTTTGATAGTTCAAAGGGTCAACTGAGGGATTATGTGCAGTAAGATGCCGTGTCTGCTTGTGCTAACATCTCCAACTACAAAAACATCCTTCTGTTCACCATCTCCACACACAGTTTGAGTTTGTCATGTGTTATTGATCATAATTTTTATTCCACCTATCTTGATAAAGTTGGGCGATGACTTTTGAATCTAAAGACAGGTAACAGAACCGAACATTCTGAATTGTGACAAAAGGCTGTAAGGTCCAATTCCTTTTCCAAGCAGGCCAAAGCCCAAGGATACCCATCCACACCACAAAAGAAGCACACTGCTTTGGATGGCATTCCCATTCCACTAAACATAATGCCCCCATGAGAGGCAAGAACAATCCGCATGCTGATTTCACTTGTGGCATTCTTGCCTGTCCCACTATTGCATTGTCAGTGAATAATCCTGACCACACAAGCAAATGCAAACACATTTGGAATGTGGATGCATGCCAGGACATCACAGCTGGAAGAGCAAGCTAACCCACCGGGAGGACTGCTCAATGACTGTGAGCTTGCTTCCTCAACAACTACTGTGCTTAGCATTTGCAGAGGCTCAGAGGCGATTTTGATATCAAAGGCCTTGGCATTGCCATACTGTGGACAGTGCTAAATATATGGCACTTCCAGAACAAGTTCAAGCCAGCACCACCATTCCCGAGAACGCAAATGGATGTCAGCACCTCTCTTTCATACCTGCTCCAAAGGCAAGTGCGTTGCTATTCATGTGGTATCTCCAGAGCTGGCCACAGATATACAAACAAACAGCCCTTTTGTGGTTGTTAGTCAAGGGAAAGGGCTCTCACCTGCACTCATCGGCTTCAGGAACCTCTTCACAGAACTTGTCCAGGGGATCGCCTGCGTTGGCCTGATTTCATACATGCCAGGAAACTTCACACTCAACCCAACATTTTCGAACACAGGAGCACAAGCGGCATGCCTGAGGACCTCGCAGGTTATGGACCATAAAACACGCTGTTGGAGGTGCAGTGGCGACGATTGTGGAAATTCATTACTGTACAACAGGCCTGCCACAAGTCCAGCGGGTAGAAGCAGCTTTTGGGGGAGCTCTCCGGGTGTGCTTAGTCAAGACAACAAGCATGCCACATGTGCATTTCAGTGGAACAGTAGAAGGCGGCCATCCAGGCGTAGCTGACAAACTGCTTTGTGCATGTGTAGGGATGCAAGCAGGCCAATCCACACTCACCTCAGCAGCCTTCTTGCGAGAAACAGCCGCTGCGAGCTCCTCCACCTGCAGGCCACGGGCAAAGGCCACAGCGAGCCCAAAGGCCAGCAATTAGGGCCCCTGACCCCATTGCGATGAAGCACGAGGGCCCAGGACAACAAGCCAAGTACAAGAGAAGCCCACCTGATCCCAGGCAGTCGCGCACTCAGCCTCGTTCTCACCCCCTTCGCACACTTCCTTTGCCTCTTCAATGGCCTTCTCCACATCCTGATGGACAGTCCAGAACGACGTCAATGCTAGCCCTGCAATCCCGTTCTCCCCCCTGCTGCACTTGATTGACCATCCCCGGCACCACTCCAGCGCTGCTGGCTATGCACCCAAGCGCCGATGGCCGCCTGCAGCGCAGCTAAGCGGCCTGCATCCTCCCACCAAACGCCGCCATTCGGGGAGCGCATTGTTTCCAGTGCATGGGGACAAAAGAAAACACCCTCGCCCAGCAATCCGGCGCCGCGTGAACCAATCTCTCGGGCCACAGTGCCCCCCATGCATTCAGGAGCGCCGGCCCACAGGCTGTCGAGAAAGGAGACAGCGCGCACAACCGGAGCCAAAACGCCCATTGCGGATGCATTGACCCATTCGAGGCGTAGTGCGGCCAGCATCGCTGCCCGAGCCAGGGACGCTTCAGCGTCCAGCGTCGATCCCGCGAGACGGGCCTCCAACGGCACCCACCGGCTTGGACCTCACGACCAGCGTCCTGGCTCTCGTGGTGCGAAGCGCCGGGAGGGCCGTCGGGCGCTTGGCGGCGTGGCGCCTCGCCACGGAGGCCCGCACGGGCGCGCCAGAACGCATCGACACGGCGAAGGAGGCCATCTGGTCAGGGTAGTGTTCTGCAGGGTGGGCAAAGGGGTGTCCAGGAGGGGAGGGCAGGGGAAGGCAAGGGGGGGACGGCGGTGTGGTTGATCAGAAGGGAATGGCTGGCCGCGGGTTTTGGGGGGAGCTGGTGTGGGGAGCGGCTGACGTGGATCACATCTCTCCGGCCCGTTGCTCGTCATGCCCTCGCCGCTCGTTGCGTGCTGCGCCGTCTGAGCGTGCAGCCCGCGCCGTTCCGACCGGGCATGCGCGCCTGCCTGCTTGGGGGTCGGTTGCCGACGGGAGCATGGAGCGGGGGAAGTGGGTCGGTGCGCGAGGGGGAGGGCTGGCATTGGTGAGGAGCCCCGCCCCTCGACTGACTCGGATTGGGCCCCTAGGACCAGATCGGCGACGGCCATCGCGACGGCGTTGACCGGTGGCTGAGCCTTGCGGCTGGAGCATTGGTCGCAAGTAATGGTGGAAGTATGGAGACGAAAGCTGGCCGTTGATTGTGCGCAGGATCTGCGACCGAGGTCCCTTGTGCCTGCGGTGTTGAGGGCGCAACCGGGTCGGTGTTGGTCGCATTGCCAGCTGTTTGAAACGAGGCAGGTCCGAGAAAAAAATGTCACTGTGGGGGCCGTCCGAGAAGCCGGGAGCGGCAAGGTGAAGGGGGCCCTGGTCTTGGTTGAGGGACATCCGAATACTTGGGAGGGGGCCGGAGCTGAGTGCACCAATCAAATGCTCCATGACTCTGTATTCATTGCCAGGATCAGTTGGCTGTTGTTTGTTGCCGCATTAAAATATGGATCGAAGGCATACAAGGTCACCGTCCAGCGCATTTGAGACCATCGTATTACTAACCACCTTCCATTCTGTGTGCCAAATCAATGCCTATTGCAATCTTCATTGATCTGAACGCGAGGTTGAAACATGGAAGGAAAAGAGCACCCCCCTCCCTCCCCTTTGGAAATTAGTGTGTCCTCGCAGGCTTTGTGCTGCATATTGTGTGTGTCGATTCCGTTCCAAAGAAGAGAAACGGCAAAACTATGAGCAACCCGAAATGGGCGAGCAGAGTCCATCATATGAACTTCCTTGTGGCACCTCTGTAGAGCATCGTTGCTGATGAGCTTGTTCTGTGTGCTGCAGGACTTTCCGTCTTTTCAGACCCTCCTGCCAGCCATTGGAGGTGCTGCAGGCCTTGCATGGGCTGCGAGTGCATTGGCGGAGAGCGGGGTTCCATCCCTTGAAGCCATTCCAGGTGGACTGCTTGTTGCTGGCACAGGTTTAGTCTAGGTAGAGTGGAATGTATTATGAAGGCTGTACGTTTACATCCCAAACTCGCCAAATGGTAGACAGGCGATGTCCAGGGGCAATAATTAAGGGCTGCTCATCCAGCCAAAAACAGCTATCTGGAATGTGGAATACAAACTGATGAGCAGAATCACACATAGAAGAGTTGTGCACGCGCTGCACAGGAGGGATGCGCTGGTGAGCTGCTTACCTTGCTGAAGTTTGCCAACAGTTAATCATATGAGGGCAGAGTACATGTCAACTTGGTATTGGAGCAACAAAACACGACTACCAATTGCATTCAGGGACACCAAAATCTTCAGATTCCATCCCCAGCAAAACCAAAACAAATGTCCCATTCAGTGATCCAAAGTACAGTCATCTTCGCTGACTCAAAGCTCAAGAACCCTACAATCTGCTTATGTCACGCCAGACTGTCATGTTGTATCCTCTTATGTATCGGTTGCCACACCATCAACTTAATTGATGCATGCACAATACACCCTCTGCTGATCCCATAGACATACGAAGTTGATTTGTAGCACACAGGGAGGCTAGCGCAGGTGTTGCTGTGGGCCTGGTTTTTCATTTTGCAGATGTCTCAGACATTTTGCAAACCTGGTGTGTAGCCATTGTGCAATGAGTTGTTGAGACTGATTCATGCCATTCAGAGAAAGCGCTCTCCAAAGCAACAACAAGTCTGCAGCAAAGGATAACACCATGGACAGAGCATTGGCCATTAGTGCGTTTGGACATCCTTATGAATGCTAACCCTCCAGAATGATGGCCCACAGGCATTGAAGATGGCGGCCCTGCGCTTGGCGGCTTCATCTCAGCATTCCTCCTGATCTTGTTCTCAGAGATCGGTGACAAAACGTTCTTCATAGCAGTCCTCCTTTCATTGCAGAACCCCAAGTCTGCAGTCTTCATCGGAACAGTCGGGGCCTTGGCTGTGATGACAGTGATCTCCACCGGGCTTGGACAAGTGTTGCATGAGTTGGATGGACTGCTGCCTGCAAGCACGGCTGCCTTTCCCCTTGACGATGTCTTGGCGATTTCGCTCCTTGTGTTCTTTGGGCTCCAAACTCTCCTGGTGAGTTCCTAACAGGAATTTTTGTTGTCCGGCATCGCCGTTCATGGAGGTGAATACCATAGTACATTATACCCTTTTGCGTTGTTGCGTACCGTTTGGCCTTTTTGTGCGGAGCAATAAGAAGAACGTAACGGTGCCAAGAAAAGGTGAAGCAGCCCCAGCCGTAACGCCTGGGTCTGAGGACTATCTGTGGCATCTAGCACCCCCAGAAGCATCAGTTGTTGTGGTGAAAAGTAGGCATTTGAAGCCATGTGAACTGAGCAGTGTCGCTGTTCCAGTTGCATCTATGATCCAGAGCCTCCCAAATAACAGGCTGTCGAAAACATAAGGAGCAACAGTTGTAACGCAGAAATCTCAAAATGAGGAATGGTTGAATATACTACAGTAGGCGCTAAGCTGTAAAGATTCTGCAACTTTAGTCAACAAGCATAGCAGCATGTGGCACTGCTCGCTCCTTCACATAACAAGTGGATCAGCAATGTTAAAAATGTATTTTGGAATTGTTGGAAACAACATTGGAAATCAAGGAGTGAGGAGTTTCCAGATGTCGCATTTTCATTATGGTCTCCACTTAATGTTGAGACAGGACATCATAGTTGAGCATGGTAGCATTATTCCTCTGCTGCTTTTCTTCATTGTCTCATGGCGCACATTTCTGTGCACTGACTGACCATAGGCACGCAAATGGCTACCACCATGCTTCCCCTGGGTGCATCTACAAAATAACTGCCAAAAACTGCGTGCCAGAACAAAGATAGCACTCATACATGCATGAATGGTGCATTGACACCTTCCCAGCATATGGGCAGAATGCAGCGTTCAACTCTTCAGCAGCCTCCCTGCCACTGCCCTGTTTCTGCTGTTTTCCTGGGCTGAACTTATGTCACTCTTCTGTGTCGCCTGGCTGCTATATCTCTTCACAGTCACAAGAAGCAGACACATTGTCAGGACCACAGAGGGATCCAAAGAATCCCCTTTCCACTCGATTTACAAACTTTCCTCGTTTTCAGGCTGCTGGAGATGCGGACGACACAGCAAAGGAAGAAAAAGAGGAGGCTGAGGAAGTTGTTTCTGGTCTGCTCTCAGGTCAGTGTGCACCCCATCCCCAGCTCCTTGCTGGGCGTGGGCTTGTTGGCTGTGTTGTGCCTTGCTGGCCGTGTGGAGGATGAATAGCTTTGATGGTCTTGTGCTGCTGGCAGGCGCCAACGGCCTGATCCTCTCCACCTTTGTGCTGGTGTTTGCTGCGGAATGGGGCGACAAGTCTTTCCTTGCGACAACTGCACTGGCAGCTGTGGCCAACCCCATCAATGTCTGCATTGGTGCAGTTGCTGGCCACGCAGTTGCAACAGTAATCGCAGTTGTTGGGGGATCTTTCCTATCAGAGTATGTGTCTGAAAGAACAGTCCAGTACATCGGGGGTTCCCTCTTCCTGGTTTTTGCAGCTTTCAATATATTTGAGTTGGTGGAGCACATATCTTGACTGAGAGCTCCCAGGGGGTGATTGGCCACTTAATGCCGGGAATTGAGAGCCCAGTGGAAGGGCTGCAATAGAGCTGCTTTGGCCCTCAACCAATTGTTTGGGATGCAGGCGTCGTGCCTCAAACTGGCAACTATCGAACATTGCGGATTGTGGTGTGGAGGGGTTGGCAATGAAATGCAGGCAGCAACAAATGTTGCATAGGGAGAATGGTCCCATGAACAAATCAGTGCGTATTGGGGCATGCCAAATGTTTATTGGCATCCACGCTTGGGTGTACGGCCAAAATTCATTCATGTTGGTGCGTCGCTATTTTTGACATTCTTTTGAGGGAATTTTTGCCAAGAGTTGGTACAAGGCGGAAAACATTTCTAGTGGAACTTCTGCGACCCTGGGCGATTTCACAGGGCGGCTGATTGCTTTGAACTCACCGATCATAAATCTGTGCGAAGAGGTGTTTCTGCGGAGACCACAATGGCTACGAGGGCTCCCAGTGGTGCCAAAAGGCACATTTTAGGCGATTGTTGTATCTGTGCAGATACACATACAGCAGGTGCCTTGTTGCTGGCGACATCAGCGGCAAGTCTCCCATCCTTGTTGTCCTGCTTGCGGGCAACGCGGTACTTCGTGGAACAGTAGCACGGCACTGATGCCCTTATAGGAATCACTTGCATCCAGAGTAGATGTCCAACAGGAACAGCAGCTGCTCCGCCGCATCATCGGTCAAGGCGATCCCATCCGTTGAATCAGGGCACGTGATCAGAAAGGAACACATGTCATCAACCATAGGTAGTTGGACATAGAGCCCAAGGGATACCGCCGGAAGCAAAATGGCTTTGTCGCAAATCCACACAAGGGACGCATGGTGTTGGACAGAAAAACGTATGGTTCGTCAAGAATAAGCGGCGCTGTAGGAGACATCTAATAACATGGCAGCCCTCCGCAGTCCGATTCTATGCTCACAGCTGGTGAGGACTACAGGGACTTTCTACATTGCTTCTTGTCCTGAGCAGAAAATGGAAGAACTAAAACTTGACCCAGACACACGAGCAGAAAGAGCTCCCAGACCAAATGTTTATGCATCCAAAGTAAGGACAATTTCCAAGTCTTCCTGGGGGCCAAAATTTCCCACTGGTGCTTTGGGCTGCTTCCCGATGTTTGATTCTTGATATGGACACAGGGATCAATTCGGCCAAACATTCATTTGCTGTGCTCATAGGGAAGTGTCATCGTGGCAAATTTTAACCAGGTGACCGCCCCTAAAGCCGTGGCACAGCAGGCAACGAAAGACAGCTTGCCTTGCTGAGTACATTTTGCATGAATAACGAAAGCCGCCATGGGCAATGAGCTGATGATGATACATATTGATGTCAATGCCGACATATTTGCACCACAGCCCATTCTGCCACAGCAGCTCGCTCAGGAGGATACCATCTCGGGTTGCCCGTTTTGGGCATCACTGGTGCACAACAATCCTGCCAACCAACAGAACGCAGAGAAACTCCAACTGGGGCTGTTGAGAATTGTTTTCAGCGGGACCCATGATCTGGTCGGGCCCCTTTCCTCGGTGCCCCTGCACCGCCGTGCCGCGAGCCATGGTCGTCACTGCAGCCTTGCTGGCAGGAATCGTGCTCCTGGCGGTGAGGGCACCTATCTTTGCCGACGGCGCTCCTGCAGTGTACATCAGGTGCACATTTTGTGTGCTCTTTCATAGCTTGTTGTGCCAGGAACCATTCTGGGAACCAAGGGTCAGCTGTAAGCAGATTGAAGGCTTGTGGCGGCTGTGGATCCACAGCGTCAACGCCACATACTCTCTGTCTCCGGCATCCCACCGCCCCTGCTCGCCAGTTCATTTGCGCCCACCTCAGGGGGAGGGTCCTGTGTAATTTCGATGTCTACCAGCAGTCGAGATGCGCAGGCGACGCATGTCGTGGCTTGGATGTGCAGTGCGGGCTACTGTCGAGACTGGAAAACTTGCTGGTACATGTAGCGCAACCTCTGGGGCATCTTTCAAGGCCTGTTGTCACAGGACAGTCTTGTGGGCTGGATCGTACTACGCGGGCGGCTGTTCCTGAACGTAGGCGCCGTCCTGTAGATGGGGATGAAACGGCCCAAAATAAGGAACTGGACCAAAATGCAGATGAAATATCCTCTTATCCATGTTCCACTCTTTTCGTTGCCCAGCAGAATTTCTTGATTGGTCATCCCGGAGAGAGAGCTTCCGTGTTCTGCGCCCTGTCCACCCAGTGGCAACAGCGGAATTGGGGAAGGCCGTCGTTAGGTAACAGGTCAGGCAATGGCTACAAGGTATTTGCCTCTGACTGTGGGAAAGGTGGCGGTGCCTCACCCGATATACGTGATTCAGCTGCAAAACACTTTGCTTCTACCACGGAAGGGGGCTCAATTTCAATGGGCAATGAGACATCGTGGGGCTTTGCTGACGCACCAAGCAGCGAACAAGTGGATGCTTCAAGTCGGCTCGACGTGGAGCAGGAAGAAAAACATAAGCTTCAGGATGAAGGTGTCAAACAGAAAGGGGCGGAAGATGTGAATAAAGGCGCTGTGCTGAAAGAGAGTGAAGAAGAGGCTGTCCCTACGAATGAGGGGGGTGAGGGAAAAGCTCTGGAAGGAGGGACGTCTGACACTGCGACGAGTGCGCAGGAGGCGTCTCCAGTATCCAGTGACATCAGTATTGGCGAAAGGGACGAGCAACGCGTGGGAGACAATCTGGTGACAGGAGATGTGAGCGGCAGTTTTCAAGGCTCCAATGCCACGCACGCGCCACAGCCTGTTAATTCTTCAAGATGGGCCAAGGATGAGCTACAGGACGGACAGCAGGTGGCACATTAAATCTTCGTTTCCATTTATGCTGTTGCGGATGCAGCTGCTGGCCACCAGGCCTCAAGAATTGCTGTCAGTGGTATCCTGCCTGCTCAAATTGTATTCTGTATTTCCGAAATGGCTGTCGTGCAAAAGATATCACTTCAGTGACGTCTCCGTCAAAACTTCGTTTTCCTGTGCACTTGTCAATGAGAGCAACACTGAGGCGAACAGCATGTTCACCACAAAAGTGTTCATGGCGTTTGTGTCTGCCCAGTGGCGCACGCAGACTGAGCATACATTGCACTATTGCAGGTTGTACCACATTTGAATGAATGCAAATACTGCAAGACGTGTTTGGTGGATGGGGACATCCAGGTAGGGTCTTCGGAGACAGACCCAACCCGAAGATGCATATCCACTCTTGGGTTCAGATCGGAAGACCAAGACGCTGGCAAAGCATCTGAATCGGCAGTGAGTGACTACCAGGCACGAGCAATGCAATTTTTCAATAGTGTCGCAGACGCGCAGACTGCAACGCAACTCGTGCGCTACGCCAGGAGCAATATGTTGAATAGATTGGAAATGCTGGACAAGTTGTTGTTGAAGAAGCAGGAACTGAGCCACACCGCAAGCGCTGCCCGTGGTTCCCAATTACAACACGAACTCCACTCTAAAGCATGTACCGTTGCTGTAAGGGTCAAGAACGCCTGTTTGACGTTCTCCCGCAACCACCTGGCGTCCCGATTTAGATGTGCACCTGACATAACAAGCCATTTGACGACGAGCTAAGAATTCCTCTATTTCGTCCATCCGGGAAAACCAAGTCTGCTTGTACCGTTTGCCTTGCCCGGCACAGGTATCTGTTCGCGATATTGGCATTGGTATTGGCTAGCTTACTAGCTGCCCATTGGGAGCCTCGCGAGCGTCACATTTCTCAACTGTGGCTGACGTGCACTGAAGACAGTTGCCCAAATCCATGATTGGGGTTGCGCGGCTTGGGGCCGACTCATAATATTGGCATGGGCCAATGGCGCATATTGCATCACTGATGCCGGATTTTCATGCCATTGTGGCAGGTTTAAGTTCTAAAATTTCGAAGGCTTCAGCATTGCTTCATCGAACGCAGAAAATATTTTTTTCAAAAATGCCCAAATTGTTGTCTTAAAAAACTGGCGAAAAGAAAGGCGTCCAGATGTTGTTTCGAAGTCGCTGCTCTGCCCTTGCCATCGCTCAATCCGCCAAAATGTGCTGTGTCAGCCAGGCCGCTCGGCGGAAGGCGCCGCGGGAAGGAATCAGGTGCAGAGGGACCCCAGGACGGACCATTTTCAGTGGACTCCGATTGAAGGGAACCTGAGCCTGGTTGACACGCTCGCCCTATCCAGCCCCAATCCCGCGCGAGCGCAGCTGCCAAACTGCACGATATGCAGGGGCTGCTCTCACAACCTCCGTCACTTGGGCGAAGACAAGATCCACATGTTTAACCACACCTACGTCACTGAATTTGGCGCCTCGACAGAATGGATCTTCAGAGTGCCGGCGAACCAATCTGCCTGTGGCCACGCCGCGGAGGGCAGGCACAGCCGGTCCCCTTTCGATTTCGTCAAGGTGGCGTGCGTGCCGTACAGAAAACCTCCCTACGGCCAATGGCCCGCCGACGGGAACCTGGGCATCCAAGAGCCCATGCGGCCCTTCGAGCCCTGCCCTCCGAAGCGCAAAAGCGACATCTCCAAAATCCTCTTCGCCTTGCAGGCCCTGGCTCAAGACTGCGGCCTCTCCAGGCTGCTGCCAAAGGTGCTCGCAGCAGACGCTCCTGCTTTCTGCTTGTCTGGAACACACACACCGTCCCTGGCCCAATGCGGCTGCTGTAATCGATCAGTGCAAACGGCAGAAGCTTCATCCATAACTTAGCAAAGGCCAAGCGTTGCGCTTCCAGCTGGACGGGAATGTAGACCTTGTAGAATAGGTCTTGCTATTTCAGTGTTCTGGATCCCCCTCTTAATTTATTTCCAATCTAAGTGTAAATGTTTCCTAAAATCTTTGTTTCAACAGGTGTGGATAAGCGGCGTGCGTGGTATAATGCCGGGCACTGGGTATCCTGTGGACTGGGATGGAGTCTGGCAGACTCAGGCCAGCGGCGTCTCTATAGAAACTTTGGTGCGCTCGAGCGCCCCGAAACACCCAACGGGGCTGGGCGCTGGCGCATTGATAGAAGACATCCTGGAGAACAGAATAAACAGTACACAGGCGAGTGCAATGCTCCAATTATTCTTCACTCGTGCATCATTCCGTTTTGTTTTGCTGCCTGGGCCGTTCCCAGTATTCTTCAAGTGCGCTGGGTGCAACACAGTCGAGAGCTCTTCTTGCATGCCAGGATCGTAAGATCGGCAATCGCAGGGCGCCTGGGGGCAATAGCAGTGTTGCCTTTTGGCGCGTCATTCATTGTGCTTCGGGTGCCATGCTCGTGAGTTGCCCCATGGAATGGTGACAACAGCCTGTTGCCACTCCTGGTCGGCTATATCCAGTGTGGGCGATGGACATTGTCATTGCTTGTGCTATCTGACTGCTGATGATGCACACATTCAGCGCGTGCGCATGTGCGATTTGTGCACATCCGGGTGTCGCCGACCGCACCCTGAATAGCAGCGGAGAAGAGCCGAATCGTCCACTGCTAGAATTTCAACAAGGCGATCCCGTTGTGCCCGGCACAGAGTGCCTTGCCTCGCAAGAAACAAGTTTCCACCGGCTGTGCTCGCAGGTCGTCCTGGCCGCCATACTTGATCTCCTCACGTCCCAGTGCGATCGCCACCCCCAGAACGTCTTTGTCAACGAGGATGGCGACGTCACCCTGATCGACAACGACCAGGTGTTCGGGCACTGCTGGAAGCCCGACAATTTGGATTCGATGTTCATTCCCACCACCGAGAAGCACTCCCTCGAGGCCGTCGGCTTCCCATACATGAGGACCCTGGACCCGGAACAAATCAGACAGAAGCCGTCAGTCATGATGCTGCTGGACTACCGGTGCCACGCGGACGGCGGCGTAATTGGAACGGACTACCCGCCAAGCGTTACCGCTTGCATGAAGAGGATCCGGGACATGTCCGCCGAAGGCATTACGAACAGGTACAACATGCCCAGCGAAGAGATGTCGGTGGCGGTGAAAGGCCGCGCGACCGCCATGCTCGAGAAAGGGTTTGAGTGGGCCGTGCTGAATTCAGAGCCCAAGAGGGACCCGAAGTTCGTTTTCCCGTGGCAGCGCCCGTGCTGCAACATGACGAGGGCTGGGGGCGAGGCGTCCAAGGACTTCAGCTGCGCAACGGGCTGGGCTCCGGAAGTCATTCCCCAGGACAAATCGGTGATTGTTGTTCCGAATGGGGTCCAAGAAGAGGGCTGGTAGTGTAGGGGATGGCGATTGGTGTTGGGTGTGGTGATGTGGGGCAGGGAGCTGCTTGGTGTAATAATAAGGGCCGGGGAAGCGGTGGATGTGGTGGAACGGTGGTGCATGTGGGGGCGGGTGTTGGGACTTCTTGACTGCAGACTGTGTTTGATGCAAATTTGGTTAGTGGCCACACATGTGCATGCACGGGTTAACTCAGGAACCCGCTGTGTTGTCGGCAGCATGTAGATGACCGCTCAGTGTGATATGGGAGCGCAATTTGGACATGCGAAATGCTTAGCTTGTGCAAGCATTGTCAAAACCAGGGTGATATGGCCAATAATCATTGTCCCAATCAAATGCCTTCAGTTCGGCGGCACCACAGCGACAACGCGGAGCGCGCCGCTGGGCTTCAAGCTGTGTCGGCATTGCTGCGGGTTTCAGAGCCGTACATAGAAGCCACAGCACGGGCAGATTGAAGCCGGGTGTGAAATTGTGGAAAGCCACCCGAAGCCGAGTGTCGTCAGGGCCGTCATGTTGTCCTGTTCACTTCTGTCCCCATCGAAGTGCCACGTTTCGAGATAGCCAGCGTAGATAGCAAAGATAGAGCAGAGGCTGGGCAGTGCACAGCAGCTCTGACGCTCAACAACCAATACGGCCCTGGATCGCACCGACAGATGAGGCCACCAAGCGATCAAGGTATTTAAAACCACCAAGGCCTTTCAAATTCCAAGGGAAGATCATCAAAACTTGCTCTTTGATGCCATTCGGCCCTCGTACTTTCAGAGGAGCCCTTCATTCTGTGTGTTGCACTCGAGACAATAACCCTTTTTTCCAAGCCACTCCTTTGCCGGCCCTGAGTACAAAGGACACGCACTGATCCGTTCCAAACAAATATGTTGATGTTCCGACGGGCAAATCTGTAGCAATCATTCCACAGCTTTAGCACCAGCGATCCAAACACCTTGTGAACAGGCCCTGTAGCTCCTTCGAATGTAGAAAGGGTATCACAACAAACCACTTGTCGCCACCACCCGATTCCTTGGCCAGCTGAGCTTGCAAATACCCAGCCAGGGAACTCAAAGCACTCATAAACAATGTGCAAACAAATTTAGCGCAATCAATTGTGTGAAGGTGAATGTGACCCTTAGGGACTAGAGGCTGTCTCCAAGTCCAGGTCGGAAGCTCCAAGAACCCCACTGCCAATCACACCCACCCCTCCAATTGTACATTGGCCGATGTGCCTCAATTTCGCGATTTCCCTGGCCCCACAGGCATTTCCCATCACTGTCTGTGCTCACGATTTGATGGCTAGCCGGCGCTTCTGAGCCTCTGTGGGCAGCTTGATGTCCTTTGCCAAGCCCAGCTTTTCCAGCAGGCAGATCGTCCACCAAGTGGGGTCCAGCTGCCACCAGTCAAGACCATGCCGGGCAGAGAACTCAAACGCATGGTGGTTGTTGTGCCAGCCCTCCCCAAAGGCCAAAATGGCAACCCACCAGTTGTTCCTGGACAGATCGCCAGTGTCATATTGCTGGTTGCCCCAAACATGCGAGGCTGAGTTCACAAACCAGGTGATGTGCCACACCCAGACCAGCCGCACGCAGCCACCCCAGACGACTGCCGGGAGGCCACCCAAGGCGTACAGGGCGACGAACATGGCCGACAGGTGGAGTATGTAGTACTTTCTGAGGTGCTGGTAGAACGGTTGGCTGGCCACATCCGTGTGGTTGTTCCGGTTCGCGGCTCCCACGCGGTCGTCT